ATACCTAGCAGCTAGGTGTGGGAAGGTCCACCAATTTGTTCAATGGCACAGAGCAACTTCTTTGGTTATGCTAATGGTGGTGCTTAGCTAGCCACCCAAAGCAATTTACCTAGTCCTAGACCAGTGTTTCCCAACCTTTTTTGGGCAAAGGCACACTTGTTTCATGAAAAAAATCTCGAGGCACACCACCATTAGAAAATGTTTAAAAAATTAACTCTGTGCCTATATTGACTATATATAAAGTAACTCTCTTTAATAGGAATCAAATAAACACAAAGAAAGTATTTTATAATTACTTTATTATGAAATAGTAAGTAAACAGAAATATGAAAAATTATAAAATACTTTATTCAGTGCGCAACCTGGGCCTGTTTGGCTGAACACAAAGCTGATATTCTGGCTGGAATCGAAGAAAGACACACACGTAGCTCTTCGTCAACAGCTCTCAGTCTCTCTCTGTATTTAGTTTTTATAGCAAATGAAGGAAGAGTAAGCAGGCTGGGGTGGGTTAAGTAAGGGCTGAAAGTGCCTAGATGAAGTGGGGGAAGCTAGAGAGGAGGTACATTCTGACGTTTGAGGATAGACTAGGTTCTTTATGTGAATGATAGGTGAGTTATTTGACAGATCGAACTGAGAGCAAGGTGTGGCTTGTGTAGCTGGGGTGGACATGAATGTTTGGGGTGCAAACCCCAGGCCGGCCAGGTCCGAGGGGGGGGCAGGGAGAGACGGGCCTGCCTGCCTCTGCCTGCGCTGTGGTGTGTTTTGCCCCGACCGACGGACGGACCGACCTGCCAGCTGTCTCCGCAGTAGCAGCGCGGACTGGAGCTCCGTCATTCTCCCCGCCGGTGCCCGGGGAGGGGAGTGTGGGGCGGCCGCTGTGGAAGCGACGGCGTGCTCCTCCTCCTCCTCTTGCCGGGCTAGAGCCAGCCGGCTAGCGCTCGCCCCTCCTTGCTCGAGCCGACCCCGCCGCCGGGGGCCTTCCCGTCCTCTCAGCGGCGCCGCCTCGCGTCCCTCGTCCGGGGGTTGGGAGGGGGCTGGGGGGGAGGAAGGGGGCGAGGAAGGGGGCGAGGGGGAGCAGCCGCCGCCGCTCCTGAGGAGATTCTGAGGCGGTGGCGGGCGACGCGTGGTGGAAGAGGAGGGGTCCCGCCAGCCCCGCGTTTCTCTCTCTCTCTCCCTCACGGAAACCTTCCCCTCAGCTTCTGCCGCTTTTTCTCTTCTTTCCCTCTTCCTTTTTTTTTTTTAAAAAAAATGAAAAATCTTTCCTTTCTCTCTTTTCCAGCCCCCCCCCCTTCACGGAATTTCACTGCACTCGGGCGCCGCGGCGCGCAGGCGCACTGCTCGCTCCTCTTTCCGCGCAGGCGCCTTCTCTCGCTCTTTCGCCTCCTTTTCTTTCTCTCTCGATGGTCCGCCTACAAAGGAGCGAGGGAGGCGCCCGCCATGTTTGGATTTGCATCCAGCAGGAGATGCCGCCGCCGCCCCGCCTCTCGCCGCCCGACTCGCCCGCCTCCCTCCCACGGCACACCAGGCAACGTCTCGCGGCACACTAGTGTGCCGCGGAACACCGGTTGGGAAACACTGTCCTAGACGAAGGGACTGGTTGGGCAAGCTTGCTCTCATACATTCTACCCCTACAGATACAGGATCCCAAGAATGGGAAAGGACTCAGGCACCAACCAGAAACTCATAATACTCTTTCTAAACTAGCAAGGGCAGAAATAGAATCCCAGTTTGATCAAACATATAATAATTTGTGCTTGAAGGCCATACACCGATCCTGGAGAAGACAGCTGAATCACTCCATGGAAAGAATGAATGGGAGTAGGTTATGCTAACTAGCAGCCAAAGAGTTAGTAAAAGCTATGCTATTTGAGTATGTGAATCAGAACTTAGGACTCTCACTTCTTCCTTCTGCTTTCTTGTGGTTCAAGCTGAGCCCCAAGCTTTCCTATGGTTAGCTTTTCTGTTTCTCCCTTTAATTGGTACCTTAGGAGTTCTTTGTAAATGTTTAAATAGGCTTAGACCTGCTCATCCGTTTGCATTTTGGTGGCCAGTACATGTTTTGATTATTTTAGGACTCTCACTTGGCAAGTAGACCACTTAGTGGGGAACAGGAGGAAGGGGCAGCCCAGCACTTGCTGCCTTGGGTGTATGTGTGTCCAGGGCAGGGTGGGGCAGATTATGGGATGAGAGAGGAGGCCATGCCATTGCCCTCTAATCCCGTGAAATTCAGAAGACTGAGAAAGGGAAGAGTAATTCATGCCCCACGGAAGGCAACTGGTTGCTAACTTTTATTGTAGGAATATAGAATCTACTGAATAAATATACTTGCTTCACACGCAAGGAATCAGCACATCTTACAACAAACTATTCTGGCACCTTAAGCCGAATGTTCGTTGCATCAGCTGCTGCACTCGGGAGCCCTCTGCTGGATGAAACGTTGATTTGAAAGGTTTGGTACTTGCGACGACTTTCAGGACTGGGCAAGCTTGACAGTTTTAAAGCGTAACAAATGTTGTGGGGAATCAAACCCTTCAAGTGCTCCCATTTCAAGGAAATGGAGATATCCCAAAACCTATTTTTCCCCTATAGCTACCAGGATTCTCCCCTGCCCATGTATAAGCTAGAATGCACCACCATTCATCAGGTATTAATTAAGAAAGGGACAGGTTTTCAGCAGCAACCCTCTCAGAACAAAACTACCCTCCAATCCATTACAGTACTTTACTTCCACATTTACCAGCCTTTCACTTCTGAAGCAGATCAGTTCCCGCAATGCAACATGCAGGGATGGATGCTTTAAACTGATTGTGTGAATAAGCCTGCAATGCCTTATTATCCGTAGTTGAGTTTAATCTCTCTCTTATTATCTCATTGTTACTTGGGCTTCTTTATTTCGCAACCCTGGATAGTAAGTCAAATATTCACTCTACATCCACCCACAGAAGCCAGGTAATGACAGCTTCTCGCTTATTCATCACCCTATGTTTATAACCACAATTAGAGAAACATTTTTTTTTTAAATGCAGCACGTTACAGCACAACTATAGTTTTGCACAGCAAACACACAGGATAATACATACCATTTTGTTGCCAAGGGAATTTGTTTTGGACCAGGAACGTCTGTCCGCTTGACTCTTCATGGGATGGGGAACCCATGAAAGACTACAGTTCCCATCATCCTAGTCAGGTTATGCTGGCTTGAGGGGCAAGGGAGCCACAGCTGTGTTGCCAGGCTCATCTTGTTATATGTACAGTGAAGTCCAAGGAAAATGAATAATCACCTGTAACACACCATGCCCTCTTTGTTTTCTGTGCACCACTTCTCACTTTTCAAGGCTGTCGTGGTGAAACAATGTGTGCTATATCTCTAAAGCATGACCAGAACAGCCAGGCAAGAGCAGCAGCAGCTAACTTACTCATCGCCCTTGGGACTGGCTTAAATGCAGCATCTCCCAGCTCTGACAAAATTAGCTGCAGGCTCTGTAGTACCTCAAAAGAGCTGAACTAAAAGGTCAAGTCTGCATCCTGTTTCCCCATCGTGAAAGGACATATGAAAGATGAATTTAATAAGAGCAAACAAGCTTGCTCTGGTGATATTTAGACTTGAGTTGAAAGAGGTATCCCATAGGTGGGTTTTGTTTTGCAAATAAGAGCAAAGCAGGAATGGGGCACCTGTGTCCCTCCAGATGTTGCTGGACTCCAAGGCCCATCAGCCGCAGCAAGCCTGGCCAATGGGCAGGGATCGTGGGAGTCAGAATCCAGCAACATCGGGGTAAAAGGATGGTAGTGTTTGTGGAGAAGGGATGCAAAAAGAGGCTGCAAACACCCACAACAGCAGTGTACAGAAAGATGTATTGAATCACCTGTTCTCTGAACCTGCCCAAGCCCCAAGATCAGACGGGGAGACCTCTCTTTCTCCCCATCAGTAAAGGGCTTTTTCAGAACTGAAGCATCTAACACAGTGGAACAGCACACCTCAATGATCTCAGTGATTGGGATAATAGATCTATAACTGTTGTGACGCAAGCCTGAATTTCAGAGCTTAGGCTTAAACCGAATGGCTTTCACATGAACTGAAAGATTGCCAAGCGATCTTTCAGTTCATCTGACACAACTTCTCTGCTCACCTTCCTCTTTGGCACTTTCTTCTACGTATGAACTCAGTGGCTGCTCAACAGTTACATAGTTCCTGGATAAGACTAAAAACAGAATATTTTTATGACCTAGTTTGGCCTGGCTTTTAATGAGTCTCAGAAGTATCAAGGAATGGATTTTTGTGTATTACAAGGTACCCTTTGGCTTCATGATTAAGCTTTTAAAAAATGTGTATCCTCTCGTGAAATATATCAGCTTTGCTCCATTGATTAGGGATAAACCTCTGTAGAATTACCGTCTCTTCTAAAGCTTTCAAAGCTGAAGAGTTCAATTCTTCTTCCATTTTTTCTGGTAAACACCCAAGCAGGACACTTTCAAGCAACTGAACAGGACTGAATTCACTCGCCTGAGTTGCACTATGTCACCACATTCACTTGGCCCAGACTTAATTTCTTAACATTTGGACATTGTCTGGAAGGAATTATAATTAGAAATCAGGAAGAGCAGTAAGTTAACACACAAGAATCTTAGCAAAGTCACAGCAAGTCTTGGAAGGGCTCCAGTACCAAAAAACAAACAAACCACCTTCCAGTTCACACCGACTCCAAAACTTGAGTGATGTTTTGTATTTGCCTCAATTCAGTTTCTCAGCTATTATGTCAGGCAGATTATTTGCATTTCTAAAATGAAACAGAGCTCATCAGCAAGTATACCCTTGCTTGGTAAGAAGTTGTGTCCAATTTCAGCACCTTCCATTTGGGTTTCTTCTCCCCCCTCCCCCAATTTGAAAAGATAATGTGTGTTAAGATAATCAACTAATTTATTCAGTCATTATACACAGCTATCTCTGATTTGATATATTTCCAGCATGCCCACTGAGTAGATTAATGGGGGGGAAAGCCAGATTCCATCTTGTGCCTGCATTTTATTATGTGCAGAATGACAGCGAATGTCAGAGAACCACAACAACATGGAGGTACAGGTAAGTGAGTGGGCCGAGAGGCTACATACCCACTTTGGCACAACTCATCAGCATAATTTATACAAACACTTTAATAAATACATAATAAACCATAAAAAGACAAGCAAGGACTTATTTTGGGATGCTGTGGCACATTGACAGCACTGGAAATGCCAACGTTATCCCACAAATCAAAGAACACCACAGCAGGTCAGAGGGCGGATCAAGGTTCACCCCCCCCACCTAGGAGAGTGGTGAATCCTATCAGGCACAGACAGGAGTGAATTAATTTACTGACATGTTTCATTGGTCCACCCAGTCAGAGAGAAAGGGGTGGGGGAAAACACATTGTGTTCCTACCTCAATACAGGCAGGAATATCTGGAGGCTGTTATTACTGAAGGATTACCAAGACGAAGTGACAGCCAATTCAGAACTTCATGGGCACAAAAAATTGTTCTATGCATTTCATTCCTTACAGCAGCAATCCCAAAATTAAACTGGAGTGATAAAAATTCTGTCACCTGAGAAAACTCTCAAGACAGAAAAAAAAAACCACTTTCATATTTAATTCACAGTTAAAAGAGTTTTACACATTCCAGATTTACCACACTTATATGCTTTCTGACTGAGCTAGTTGGCAATTTCTCCCCACCTGCACAACACAGCACTTTGGGAGTAATTCCTGTGGATGAAAATGCCAGACAAAGTTTGAGTGGATCAAACATGTAACGTGCATCAGAAACCTACCCTCAGCCCTTATCACTTCAGAGCAAGTTGTAGTGTTATGATAAGCTTGTATATACACCCACAGGAATTATTTTCCCCGAAGAGCCGTTCTGTAGAAGAACTGTGTTACTTCTGAACTGGATTTTGAATGCTCCCCTTTTCACAGCAAGAGTTCTGGGATAAACCCCACTACCCCAACACTGGCATGGAATGACAGTGGCTATAGAAGAGAGATAAATAGTACCGGTACAAACGTTGCTTCATTCAAGCTTGGGAACAGCAAACATCACAGCAAGCACATTGCTGTGCTTCAAAGAAGAAGAAAAGCCGAGGACAACAGTAAGAAGGCCACTAGTGGCAACAGTAAAACCAAGATAATTTAAATAAATAACTACTTCATGCCAAGAGGAGGGGGAAATAAATAAATAAATAATGGTTCGGCCTATAAATAACCCACTTTCACATAAGATTCTCTGTTCCCTTATAGCTGGCTAAAGTAAAACAAAAGGACCTCAAATAATGAACTAACACCCCTCTCTTCATTCTTGAAGAAACACTGGAATGTGATGAGCCCAGAATCAAGGAGAGAGGGAGCAGAAGTAGGAACGGGCGGCAATCAGGAATGGGACTAGGAACTCTGCCCACCCACATCTCCCCTTACTCATCCAGGCCGGGTATTAAGTCTGCAATACTGTCCACATAGTAATGAGGCACCAGGTCCTTTGCAGCAGGGCTGTCGCTGGCCATGTATGCCTGTGCCTCCTCTAGGTTTGAGACTCCCGTCAGGGTCAAGACCGTTTCAAGGCCACAGTTCTTGCCAAACAGGATATCTGTCTCCAGCCGGTCACCCACCATGAGCATGCGGGACGGATCCACACCAAAGCGCTCCACAATGCACTCAAACATATACGTGTTGGGCTTCCCAATTACCATTGCCTTGCGCCCAGATGCTGTTTCAACTGCAGCAGTGAGACTCCCTGTTCCTGAGAGAGAAAAGACAATAAGACACCCTCATGTGAAAAGATTGGTCTCCAATTCATTAAGCAACTTAAGCATAGCCTACATATTTATGCAATCAAGCTAGATTGGGCTGACAAAGGATGTGCAAAAGAGCAACTTTTTAAGCCTCCAAATGGTGAAACTGAACAGGCCTAGTTGTCTCAATGAGGTGGTAACTCTGCAACTGACAATACTCTTTAGGGGACAGGGACATGCATCACTGAATGCTCCTCCAATTGTATGAAGGAAAATTCAACCATGCAGTCCCCACCTGCAGCCCAACACACTATGACCTCAGCCTCAGTGTTGGAGATAAGCACTTGCTTGGTAGGCAAAGGCAAGAAGGAACTACATGCATGTGATCTAGCAGGCAGGTGAGAGGCACAGCACTCCATCCCTCCTGTGTGCCAGGCATAGAAACCAAGCAGACTGCAAGACAAGGGAAGGTCTCACTTCCATCCCCAGGACAGAAATGCAGTGAGCTGGTGGAGGAAGGACAGAGCTCTTTATCTCTCCTTTGAGAGTCTTCAGCAGGCTAGTAACTTTTGTGGGCTTATTACAAGGTTGCTGCACATCTTAAACCCTAGTCCGAGAACTTAAAGCCTTGTCCAAGGATAAAAGCACAAAATTTAATCCAGGATGAAAGAGCTGGCTCCAAGGCCTTGATGAAAAGAAATTCTACTCCACCCCCTGCTGGTGTGTTAGTTCATGGAAAGAACACATTTCTAGCATTAGGCTAGATATTTGAATTTCCTTTCATTGTGTCATGTAACTTACACATTGTCCTGTATGACTACTGGTAAGCTTCTCCTTTGATTGATTAGCACTGGCACAAAGTGGGATGTAAACTGGTCACATTTGGGATACTGTTGAGGTTAACAGTGAATATTTCCAAATACAGTGGTACCTCGGGTTACATACGCTTCAGGTTACACACTCCACTAACCCAGAAATAGTGCTTCAGGTTAAGAACTTTGCTTCAGGATAAGAACAGAAATCAGGCTCCGGCAGGGCGGCAGCAGCTAAAGTGGTGCTTCAGGTTAAGAACAGTTTCAGGTTAAGAATGGACCTCCAGAACGAATTAAGTACTTAACCCGAGGTACCACTGTAAAGAATGGACATGTCAACTGCCTCACAAGTGTGGCACTAGGAAGTCTGGGGAAATAAAATCAGGAACCTGAAGCCAACTAATGGAATTGTAGCACTTTTTTTTTTTGTTCTCTTACAATCCTTAATAGATTCTAGGTTTGGGATTCCCCAAGGTACAGAAAAGACGGCCTGCACTGTCACACGGAGCCTGATGCACAGGTGAACTCATGATGGTTTGAGGAACTGCATGGCTAACTCACAATACTGATTAATGTAAGGCACCATAATACTGCAGATCTAGCTAGCAACCCAAGCAGCCTACCAAGAATATTGGGTACCTGGGATGTGCATAGTATTTTAATACATGGCATAGTATTTTAGCATCCAATGAGCAGGATACAGGAATGGGTTCCCAAACTAATAGTGCTTGACCACTAAAGATATAATACATGGCCAGGAGTTCCTCCTAGACCCAGAGGGGAATACCATCCTTAGTCCAGGACGCTCCTAAGAGGCTCCACAGATGCCAGCAATGGGACACAAGGGTAGTGTTCCTTTAACTGGAGTTTTAGGAAAAAGGACACCTGATCCTTTTGGAGAACCATCCTTAACCCAAGAAGGGTGGTCTATGGACTTAGATTCAAACCCTAGCTCAATTCATGAGGTGTCTAAGTAAGCCATAAGAGTTCAGACTCAGCTTGCGCATCTATGGTAAAAATACTACAAGCGAGACGGCGTATTGTTCCGTTTGAACCACAGCAACATGGGAGCAAGCCCCATAAGGCTTAAGAAGCACTACCCCAATTCTAAGATTTTCCAGGTATCTGTTACCAGTCACTAGTGCTTACCATCTGAACCCAGGGCACACCCTAAAGTTCGCCAGCTGAGGTTCCAGACCTTACTTTAAAAACCCTGGGCTCCTTGTCCTGTCGGTTTGGAAATCCCTCTCCAAAGCTAAGGAACGCGAGGGCGGAGGGGAGGGAACAGGGCAAACTACAGTCCCTCGGCCATGAGCGGAAAGGGAGCTCTGCTCATGCTCAGGACCATCTCTCCTGCTACCACCGGCGCCGCAGAGGCTCCGTGTTGGAGCCCCGCTCCCCGTCACTCACCCGGGGTGCGCTGCCCGCTGCTCAGCGGGTGCCAAGGGTCCGGGTCGGTGGCCACCAGCAGGCACTCCGGGTCTCGCAGGTAGGCGCAGGCCTCGGTCAGCTTGGCGAACGTGAACTGGTCGTCGTAGCCGACGACGACGGCGCGCACCGGGAGCCTCTCGTGGCCGGCCGGGTCCTCCTCCTCGTCGTCCCCGCCTGCTCCTCCTCCTTCGCCGGCCAGGCGCAGCCCGGCGTCCCGCAGCTCCCCGCGCAGCCCTTCCCCGCCCAGCACGAAGACGCAGCCGGCCGGGGGCGAGTCTCCGGAGCCGCCCTCGGCGCCCAGCAGGCGCTGCCGGAGGTAGAGCGCGGAGCAGAGCGCGGAGCTGAAGACCTGCTCGGCGCGGACGCCGCGGAAGCCCAGGCGGGAGAAGCGGCGCTCCAGCTCGGGCACCGAGCGGCGGCTGTTGTTGGAGACGAAGAGGGCGGCCTTGCCGTTGCGGCTGAGGCGCTCCAGCAGCTCCGGGGCGCCGGGCACCGCCCGCTCGCCCGTCCACAGGACCCCGTCGCAGTCGAAGAGGACGCCCTGCGCCTCGCCCAGCACCTCGCGCAGGCACGAGCCGCTCAGCCGCCTGCAGCCCGCCATGCTGGACCGGCCGCTCTCACCGCCGCCGCCGCCGCCACCCCCGCACCGCCTCTTCCTCCTCCTCCTCCGCTCCCGCCCGGGCCAATCAGGAGCGCGGCGCCGCCATGACGGACGGAGGGGAGGCGGCGGCGCGGGAGCACCAATCGAGGGGCTCGGCGACCAGGCGCGTCGGGCGAAACAGAAGCGAGCCCTGGCTCAGCGGCCAACCGCGTTGCAGGAAGGCCCGTGACTGGCAGGTTCGAGGGACTAGGCGGATGTTACCAGCCATGGTGATAGGGGCGGGGCGGGGAGGACGGGGACTGTGTTGCCATGGCAACCCGTTTACAGTGATTGGGAAGGGAAGAGGATCCAGATGTGAAGCGCGCAGGATGGGCTTTCGGAGCGGGCGGGGGGGAAGGATAGAACCGAGGACTTGAAAAGCCCGCCCCTTCCCGCCGTAGCCTATGGGAAGAAAGCGGTATGGAGGCCCGGAGCAAAGTGACAGCTGCTGTAAGCCTATCAGATAGAAGAATAGAGGTTCGTAGCCTATAAAATACGGCGAACGAAAACAACAGCTTTAGCGAAAAGTGGGCGTCACACCCTTATCTACCTATCGTAATTACAGAGCGGAGGCGGGACTAAAAAAGAAAAAGGAAGTAGACTATTAAAAAAAAAATACATCAGATGGTAAACAAACCAGGGCGGTCGGGGAAAGAATGAGAGGCGGTTGTTGACGGTTTCAGAATGAAAAAAGAAGGCGGAGCAAAAAAAGGCCAGCCAATGACTGTCTTGGAAAGGCCTTGCTTACACACGGTTCTTTTACAGCAACTGGCACCAAATAACCCCAGGAACTGTAGTTTACCCTTCACAGAGTGCCAATTCCCAGTAGATTTCATGAACTACAGTTCTCAGGATTATAGGGAAATGGAACTGTTACATATTGTGTGGTCTGTGTTTGCCTGAGCTTGAGTCTGGACTAAGGAATCTGAGCTCCTGTGTTCTGATTTGATACATGGCTTCCAATCACAGGCAGGGACGCGGGTGGCGCTGTGGGTAAAAGCCTCAGCGCCTAGGACTTGCCGATTGAAAGGTCAGCGGTTCGAATCCCCGCGGTGGGGTGCGCTCCCGTCGTTCGGTCCCAGCGCCTGCCAACCTAGCAGTTCGAAAGCACCCCCGGGTGCAAGTAGATAAATAGGGACCGCTTACCAGCGGGAAGGTAAACGGTGTTCCGTGTGCTGCGCTGGCTCGCCAGATGCAGCTTGTCACGCTGGCCACGTGACCCGGAAGTGTCTGCGGACAGCGCTGGCTCCCGGCCTATAGAGTGAGATGAGCGCACAACCCTAGAGTCTGGCAAGACTGGCCCGTACGGGCAGGGGTATCTTTACCTTTTTACCTTTCCAATCACAGAACACTTCAGGATTTGGGCCTCTGCCATTGGTCCTTGAATTCTGAGTCGTGATTCGCAGCTTGGAAGTTTAGACAGCCAATCATGTTGGGAGTGGGAGTGGCCCAGACTTTCAGGAATGTATATAAGCAGCTGCTTTGCCCCTGTTCCCCAGTTATGTAGTCCAATAAAGGTTCTTGCTTTCATCACTGCGTCTTGCCTTGTGGGAACCCGCCTACACTTCAGGAATACGCCTGAGAAGTGTGGCATGGCTTCAAGTTGAAGGGTGGCTGTGAGGTCCTTCAGAACTTCCCCTTCATCCTCCTCCTGGCAGAACTGAAGTCCTGTGGATGCCTACCTGGCTTTCGCCCTCTATAAGCAAAGGACAAATAAATGGCTTTTCACTAGCAGCTGGGTGGAAGAAAAGGAATTGGCCCATCTACTCACCCTGACTATGGCTGACTTGTCCCACGACAAATTGAGATATCGGGAAATGCAGCCTCCACCATGAAACAGATTCCCCGCTCCTATTAAGAGGGCATCTGAATTTTATCCAGCTGCAACTGAATAAGCATGACTATATCTAAAGTAGCAGCATTAAGGATAAATAAAACATGATCCTGGCCAACCACTCTTGGGTCTGTAATTTATGGAGATTTAATGAAAACCAAGCACAATAGATCTTGTCTGTTCGGAGCACTAAAGAGAAGTTAGCAACACTGAGAATACAATCATATTCATGTCTGAAGTACTTAACTTCTTGAATTAAATGAGACTTACTACTAGGTAAGAGAGTATAGCTGGGGTGGTGAACTTTTTTTCAGCCAGAGGGCTGCAGTCCCTCAGGAGAACCATATGCCATGGGTTCTAGCCACACAAAAGCCAGCAGTTCCTATCTACCTACACCCACCCACACACCTTCCATACAGACAGAAAAGATGCATTATTCACATTTCAACTATACATTCCAGCTAGGCAAAAGCACTAAAGAGGGTTGTGGGGGTGTCTTTTGGGGAGTGTCCCCAAGGATCACAGTCAGCCTTGGCCCTGGAGGTTTCCTATCCTTGCTGTATAAGATTGCAGCTTGATTTACAAATTCTGCTATTAACCACTGGTTTCATCTGGACTCTCAAAAAATCCAAATCTTAGCTGATCTTCCCTGCATATCTAAACAACATAGCACAAAGTTAAATCCAGTGTGGGAACTGCTTCCTTGTCCCTCCCCTCCCCCTGCACCCCTGAGATCCATTCAGATTGATCATGTGGACAATTATTTTGTGCAGAATGCCCTTCAGCCTGTTTGCCTTTATCGTGTGACAGAATGCAAAGTGATTTTCTGGAAAAGCGTGCACATGACTGCAGCTTGGTGAGTGAGCTGACTGGATTATTTATACACAGAAACAGCTGTGTGCTTGCTCGTGGTTTGCTGGGTTCTGCAACTAACAACACCTGCAGTGGTGTGCGTCCTTTTTGTCCTATCAATTTATAAATAAATTGATTTTAATGGAGTCATCATTGTAAGACTCTGATGCTCTCTTCTCTGCAGAAAGGTGACACATCTCTGCTCAGTGAATATGGGGGGGGGATACCTCTCTCACAAGTGCCAATATGATTTGCATTGTAGAAGATTCAATGTTTTTAAATTTCAGAGAAATAATGGGGAATTACACCACCAAAGAAGGCAAATACTCCTGGTTTTTTCCACAACAGAAGTAATGCTGTTGTGGGAATTTGCAGAGGGTTAGTATCTCTCTCAGCTTGCTGTAGGAAAAACTATGAAGAGACTTGTGGTCACCTTGAAGGCTAAAAAGTATGGCAATCATCCCCAAAGCTGAAGTCTACTCCATGAGAAGCATCTTATGAAGTTGACTTTACCCCACAAAAGCTTATGCCGAATACATTTAAAGCAACACAAGACAATAGTAAGACTCTACAGTATTTGATAATACAAACAAAACTCTTATGTGTGAAGGTATGAGAAAGAGCTGCACATCTCTAAAGACAAAAAGCAATAAAAATAATGTATTTAATAAATTGCATCTGGTGAATAGGACTCTGGACCATGAAAATGCATGCTGCAATATATTTATTAAAACCTTAAGATGCCACAGAGCACTCTTGCCATTTTACAGGATTTTCTCAAGAACTATCCAGGAGTTCAGTTTGTCTCTGACACAAGCAAAGCAGACACATTCTTTAAAAAATGAAGGAACGTGCTCCTTCTCTCAGCCATAAATATGACCGTACAGTTAAAAAATAATTTACCAGCTATGTATAAAAATAAGTGGTCACCTTTCCAATCCTAAGGAAACCCATGTGAAGCGTTTATTACGTCATGTCTGCATTGCAAATGTAAATGAGCTTAATTGTCCTCTCCCAAAAGATCCTGAGAATTGTAGTTCCTTAAGTGGGGTACTACACATCTCTTTCAAAGTCTTATTACAAAACTACTGCTATACACTTTCTTGGAGAAGCCAAGGTTAAAGGTTTCAGGGCAGGTGTGCCTGCAGCAAAAAGCTCAGCCAGAATATAAGGTGGGAAGTCCACTATCCTTCACTCATCCATCTTCAAACTCAGGAATGGTTCAAATACACATTTGCACTTGAATACTTGCATGTGCGAGTGTGGTGTTGTGTGGCAAAGTCCAGACAAATTTTCAGATCAGCTCAAACAAAATGGGCATTAGTTAAGGTCTCACACATTTATCTGCCAATCATTGCATAGAGAAACAAAGCAATGTGCTTGCATACGTGAACAAGCCCTGTATCTAGGCTCTCCACAGTGAGAATACATACACTGACTGTAACTAGGATCCAGCCTCTACCTTTAAAGAGCGGCCAAAAGGGGGAGTCTATTGCTGACAGCTTCTAGCATTATACTACAGTTCTATGATGGGGAAAGCTGCACGTAAAATTAGTTCCATTAGTTCCTCAAGGTCCAAGATCCTTTTTGGGGTCCACAGCTGACAATTGTGTTTTGGCCTGCACTTTTGATTTTTATTGTGCTGCACCTGCTGCCCTTATAAAAAATAACTACAACTATCGCATATAACCTGGATATACATAGGGTTGATTTTCAAATGGCCCACCCTCTCTACCAATCACATCCCTACCAATCACTGTAAAAGGACAGAATAATCCCTGAGACTGAGCTAAGGTGGGATGTAGGGCAACTGGAATGGAATCAAGTGGACACTTGTTGTAGGATTTGTTGAGGTTCTGAATTCTCTTCAAGGGGAAAAAAAGCAAAGACATTAGAAACATAAAAAAGCAGATCTGCACATTATACAGAATGGAGCATTAGACGGAAGGGAAGAATTCTGGACAGTACCACATCACACAGCAGTGCGGGGAAGTGAATCATATGCTTGAATGCTCTCAGCTTGGAATGAACTATTGCATCAAGAACAAGGTTATACAGTGCAACTTAACTACATGCTGGAAGGATTTTTTTTTTAAAATGTCTCTGGCTCTGCATCTGAATGCTGCTTGGGAAAGGTCAGAGGAGTACCAGGAGGAGAGTTCAAAATAATACAAAGTAGGAAAAGAGCCATTCATGAATAGTGGAAAAGGCAGCAAGAAGCAGAGGCACATGGAAGAAGAGAGATTGCTTTTGAGGTTGCAGACGCGAGTGCTGGTTTCCAAGCCACGATAATGACAGATGTCAATATGGCACCTCTATGTCCCCACAAGAGCTGCTAGCCTTGTGTGATGTGCCCAGGATCACACCTGATCGTGCACCTTTTCCTTCCTTACACTGCAGCTCCTTCTTCATTATTCTCCAGAGCATCAACCTCCAGATCCGGTGCAGATGGAGAGCTGCTTCTTTCTACAGGTGGGGGTTCCCTGGGCTCTGTTGTCACAGGGAGGGATTCCTTGGATGTTTCTATGCTGCTGTCGCCAGGAAGAGAAAGAGGTGCTTCATCTGCCTCGCTGGTCCTGCTTTCTGAAGGAGGCTTCGGGGATGGGGACGCATTACGACTCTGGCGCCTGACCGGCTGGGGTGGAAGTGGTGGAGGGACAGAGGGAGCTCGCACGCTTCCTCCAACGGTTCTTCGAGGCACTGCTTTAGGGATAGAAGGAGAGTCTGGGGCAGGAGGCTGGGTCTGAAGCTGCACAGGAGGTGGCGTTCGAGGCTGGGCTATGGGCGGAGGCACCGTGGGTCGGGGTGGAGCAACTCGCTTTGCTGCAAAGCAAAACAAGGAAACAAAATCCAGGTTCTGAGAGTTTTGCCTTGCGGATGTCACCTGTTATCTGTATGGTCTCTCCGCACAGCAGCTCTGCACCTCACACCCCTTCAAATTTCTTCTCCTACCAGTGCTTGTCCTCAAGTGTATTTTTGCAAGTTTGGAATAAAGATTCCCTTCTAAGGATTCTCTCCCATTCCTCTGAAAAGCTATGATTTCCTTACAAGCAGGCTGTAGATCAAGTCCCAAGCCCCCAAACCACTTGTGCAGGCAACAGAAATTCAGAGGCACAGCCTGCTTCCACACTACGACCTTGCAACATTGCACAAATAATGCTTTTCTCTGGTCACCTGAAAGTGGAAACTGTGGATCCACACAGTGAGTTATTTCCTCCACTAACAGCATTCCCATCCACACTACAAATGCATAATTTGGCAATGGGAGAAGCTGTGGCTCTCCATCGCCCATTGTCCCTGGCTATTGGTGAGGCTGGCTGTGGCTGATGGGAGTCCAATACCTTCCCCATCCCTGGCATAAACAAAAACACAACACACGTGGCTGGATCTCAACTCTGGTACATTGCTGCAGGAACAGGCCAGGCACAAGAGTTCCACTGCACAATGTAGCTCTTCACAATTAATGATGATGATTATGAAAAAGAAGTAGATTAAAATGGTGCAAAGCATAACTAAAACCTGAGAAGTTTATTGAAACCTGGATTATGTCCAGCTGTCCCCAACTGCACTACAAATTTGTGATGTATGCAGCCATTGTTTCCAGCCATGTTGATAAAAAGAGCTACAACAATTAATCACTGTTGCAAAACTTTGTCATTTAGAATCACAAGTTTCCTGACAGTAGGGAAAAGGCTTTGTAAGCTGTGCCGATTTTCAATCATTCTTTAACACATTCATAATAAAACATTATGATTTATATGTTTTGAAGAGCTATTGCTCTTCTGTGCCAAAGGGAAAAAAGTGGGAAAATGTTAAAAGGGACCGTGTTGCAGGAAAGCAAATGACAGATATGCTAACAAGCAATGCAATGTGTTACGGTGTGGAAAAAGAGTGTGGAAAAATTAAGGTGTGGAAAAAGAGACTGGGTGCTTCCAGTGGGGGTGGTCAGTATTGCAAATGGGTCATTCAGAGATCACAGATCACAGATTTTTCCTGGGAAAGGGCAATTTGGATTTAATGGGGGAAAATATGGATTGGCATTTTTGATTCCTACAACTGTTGTGGTTGTGTGGACTATGTTTAAAAAATCAGATTGCTGCCAGATGTGGGTTTATTAGGGGATGGAGTCTCTTCATGCATGCAAGGTTTTTTTTTTTGCAGTGGGTCCACATGACACCATTAGCACCACTGGGAATCAAATTTACCCTTTCCAGGGAAAACCCAATAAGTAAAAAAGCTTGTTGCCAATGGTGTGCTTGCAAATTAAGCCCCTGTCTGGAAGCACCCTAGAATGCATGAGCAGTGCCCATCCCTAAACCACCACCCACCTGGAAGCACCCAGTCCCCAGGCAATGATACTACTTGTTTCACAGAATATTCTCCTTCAAAAAGGAGCTCAACTCGTGTAAGGATAGTGCTGCAATCGCATTTGATGCCAAGTGTGTGTATGGGCCTGGCAGGGGGAGAGCACACAAATACAGCTTGAGAGCAATGTTATCTGGATTCCCCAGAAGAGCTGCACAAGCTGACAGAGCCTATTCTGGAGCAAACAGTTCCTACAGAAGCACCCATAAGAACAAGACTTACACTTCCTCGAAGCATCCTCAGCAGGAACAGGAGTAGGCAAAGAGACTGCAGCTTCAGTAGAAGGTTGGGTCACCTTTGAGAGGACTGTTCCAGGGGTCGCCTCAAAATTTTTCCTGTCAGTTGGTAAAAGGCTTGTAAGCTGTTTGTACTCTGATCTCTTGGCTCAAAAAGACACGAGAGTGCTGTGTGTGTGTGTGTGTGTGTGTGTGTGTGTGTAGGCTGGATTTCTCAAATGGATTTGAGCAGCTGAGCAAACTCTTCCACTATAGGCTTCTCTTTATGTTGAGCCCTCTAGTTTGGTGGTGCTGTTACTGGGTGCCATGTCAGTCCATAATAAGACGATGCTCATCCACAGCTTGATCATGGATGAAGGAGTTGGCCTGTATTATCAAGACTTGGTTGGGTGAGCTGAATGGCCCCAACCGAACTCAGCTGTGTCCATCTGGCTACTCAGTCTAGCACCAGGCTAGATGGGCTGTGTGTTTCAAGAGCTATACGCCCAACCGCATGCCTTCTTGACCCCTGTCCCTCCCGGCTTACTAAATCTAGCAGAGGGTGCATTGACAGGTTGGAGCCAGAGCATGATTAATGCTTCGTTGTGTTACTAAAGCTGCTTCTATATCATAGAACTGTAGGCTCCTTGAAGTAGAGACCTGCCAGATCTTTGTAAAGCACTTTGTGCCTGGGTGGCTCTGTATAAACAAACATATCTCACAGTTCCTGGAAAAACTGTGACAAAACATATGCTTATACTACTTGCCTTTCTCCGGGTTGTGGTGAAGCTGGTTCAACAGAGAGAAGCGAAGATGCGGGTTCTTCTGCTGCGGAGACATCTCTATCTTTAATGTCTGATGGGGCAGTGAACAGGCCAGATACGTCAAAGTCAATATCTTTAAAAAAGGGGAGAAAGACAAAGTTATTGAGATGATCTGAAGTACTGAATCATACCCATTATGAAATGTTGTAGTCTTCCCTTGCAGGAGGAAGTTCAAATTTTGGTATCTTCCATCTCTTATGGCTCATGATCTTTATGATGCAGGAGATGTGGCTCGCTCATAGACAATAGGAGATGCCCTGGCCAAGAGTTCCTTATAACTAGGTGGTTATTTATGTATTTTGGGTGGGGTTGCAGTCAAACATAACCACCAAGCTGAGGGCGAGTTAATGCATGAAGGGGTTAAGATCATATAACTGTATTCCTAGACTTGGCCAGTTCTATGAGGGCAGGGACAAGGAACCCGTGACCCTCTGGATGTTGCTGGACTCCAGCTCCCACCATCATGGTCAGCCAGTGGTCAGGGATGATGGAAGCTGTAATGCAGCTCCTCACCAGGGTAAAGAAAAATTCAGGCCAACAGATGATGGACTACCTCCTGGGAAGAGGATGTCAGCATTTTGTATCAGGGGTTCCACAACTCCCACAACTTGGATGGAGGATACAGAAGCCATATCTAGTTGCACCTGGCACCTGGGGGAGAGAGATTGAGAGACAGCAACAAGAACTATGTTAAGCAAAGGCTGTTCATCCTAACTTTTCCTCTACAGTTTCTGATGGGAGAAGTCAGTGAAATTCTTCTTTCTGTGCAGCTCATAAAAGTTATACAAGCCTTTTTAAAGGCTAGAGGTGACAAATCTAGGACTTTTTAAATTAAGATATTAGCTCTTTAAAGTTCACGGAGGAACCAGACAGAGTGTTTTCCCTTCTGTTAGGGCATCACAACCTGTTTTTTTCCTCCATTTGAGGAGAAGGAAAGGACATGTGTTTTAATAACGTAACTGAAAGTTACTTCCAGACTTGCCACATCCTATCTGGGACAAGTCTTCAGTTTTTCCCAGAGCCTCAGAGGAAAGCAGACATTCCACAGGTTGGACTTCTCCCATCAGTCTGTTGTAGTGACAAGGAAAACGGCACCTTTGAGATCACAGGGGAGGAACTGGATCTGGCTGATGGAAGGGATCCTTACCTCCCCCATCTCCCACAAGTCCACCTACTGGTTAATCACCTGAAGTCTATACATAATAATGCCAGGGGACAGCTTAAAAGGAGCTCACTCTCAGAGCCAACCTAGTGATTGACACTGACAGCTCACCGCCAAAGGACCAGTTTGCATTCAAACCACTCTTGCAAACAGGGAGGGAAAATGTCTCTTTGCATATGTGACTTGAATCCAAACAAAGTCTGCAAACAGACTCTGAAGGTGTGCTATCAGGCAAGGGTTTGTAGGCACTGCTGGTCAGCTGATTGGCAGTGTCTGCAAACCCCACTTTGCCACATCTTTTTACTGTCCCATAACTGGGGACAGGTGTGACTTCCGGCATGGGGCAGGTAGGCTGGGCTTAGTAAAAACAGCACCATGGACCAAATACAGTTCTCCACATGTATTCTAGACATTTTCAAGTTCTGGATAAGCTGCCTTGGGTGCTGGAAGGCAAGGCGCCATCCACCTGCCTTGGGGACTCCAGTCTGGATTTGTGCTGGGTTTACTCCTTAGCCTTTTCTTCTCCTGAAGATGTCCCGCAAGGCAGTGGAGGTTTAGGATAAGAGTTTTTCCTTCTCCTAGATGGGCTACCTTCCCAGGTTGACGAACCCCATCTGCCCCTCACTTCCCCTCCCCTATACCCCAGACGAGAATGTATTCTGGCAGTTTTATACAGTTACCCTTCAGTCTGCTGGGGCCACAACAGGTTGGGCCCTAGGACAATGGCAATGTTGCTTGGGGTCATCTTATTCACTTCCTGCTGTTCAGCCAGCTTGGCTAAAAAACGAATCAGATACCTGTTGGGAAAAGGCAAGTACTGTAGTGAAAACAAGGAAAACCACTGTCTTGACATTTCAGGTGGGGCTCTTTTGTCTGTCTGTTGAGTAACAACAGAAATGCAGCAGGCTTTTCCAGCACTGGGAGACAGTGATGGTATAAGCGCCACCTACCAAGCTTCGTCTTAAAGCCCCTTAATACTAACAGGTGTGCCACACCTCATGTTGTTATAGTTGTCCTTGGGGAGACGGCTGCAAGTGTCCCGAAGATGCTCCAGTCGATTCTCTGGCTCTTTGATACTGAAAGGGAGAGGTGAGGAGGGCTACAACAAGCTTCAAAAGCAAAGGGATCCATCTACTATGATAATTGCTTATATGGAGTCTTATCTTTATTTTCTTCTCATGGGCATTTCGATCACTGTCTGGCTGCCAGTCTGCTGCTGCAGCTCCACATGTGTAAATCCTATCCTTCTTCCTATCAGCTCAGAGTGGCAACCCTGGATGGGACTACTCTGTTTAAATTCACAGTGGCAGATCTTCTACATTTCATCTACCTTGGCCCTAGAACTAAGTCTCACTTTTTCCAAAGGGATTTATGTTGAGGTGATTGTGCACTCGAGCCAGGAGTAGCAAACCCAATAGTCAGGGATTGTGGGAAATCTGGGCCAGAAACATCTACAGGGTTCCATGTTGGCCAACTCTGCCTTAAGCCGAGTATGTTACTAATCATAACACTTTTCATGGTGTTTTTTAAAAACCCAACTGGAAGGGGCCATCCTTCTTAACTCCCCCCTACCTTGCTAGTTTTGTAATGAGACCCTCTGCTCCTCTTCAACTCTGTGTGCACCCTGACACATGCAATTTTGATTTCTAGTAACATTTGCAACAGGTTTCAGTCATTCCCAGAGTAGGCAATAATACAAGCAATTTCCATTGCTAGTCAAGTTAACCTAATCTTAGCAATGAGGTGAAATCACAAACTGTGTGAGCTGTAAGAAGGCAGCCCATCTTCCTAGTCCCAATGTACCTTGCAGTTTTAAGCCAATCATCATAGAGTTCAAAGGTCATCAAGGGCTGGGGCAGCTCTCGCAGGTAACATTTCAGTGCACCTGAGATGGAAGCAAAGAGATGCTGTTTTAGAGGTAGAACATGCCTCTCCCTCTCTCCCGGATCACGATACTCCCTGCTGCTTAATTATCTGCTACCTCTAAACAGGGCTGGGGAAATCTGTGGACCTCTAGATGTTGTTGCACTCCAACTCCTAATGAAACCCCTGACCACTGGGTGGTACTAGCTAAGACTAACAGAAGATGGAGTCCAACAAGATCTGGAGGGCCACAGGTTCCCCAGCCCTGCATTAATATAATATCCTACCTGCCACAGCATGAGGATCTGCATAGAATTCACCCAGGGCACCTGAGCCACAGGCAAGGCTGTACTTTAACTTCTTCAGCACAGATGCTCCAGCTGCTAACCGGAAGAGCCCCTGCAGAGTGGGAGAAAGGTGAGGCAAGGAAATTGGTGGCAAAAGGAGGGCTGGGCAGGTGAGTGGCACCTACCTCTTCCTTCATCCCCGATGCCAGCAGCATCATGACACAAGCTTCAATGGGGACGGCAATCTCCCGGCCAGAAGCCTTCAGGTGAGTCTCTAGTGGCATCCCATACACCCCCACCACAGCTGCATCTCTTGGGAATGGGGAGTCTGAAAAACAGCAGGAAGGAAGGGAGAGGGAGAGAATAAAGCCCACTGTGCATATGGGATGGGAAGTTTCCAACATTCATCACCATCCAACTGCTGAGCCTGGTTTTCAGGAGCCAACTCAGCCCAGCAGTGGTCCATACCAAAAGCTCCTGCAGACCCTTCCCAGGCAGAGCAAAGGCATTTTGCTGCCTGAGGCAAGCAGCAAATGATGCTCTGTCTCCACACACCCAAGCCAAGTTACGTATTAGAACTCACAGCCCACCAAGTTCTTTGGGTGTCTAAAGCAGAAAATCTCCCTGACAGTAAAAATACAATAAATGAAACAATTAACACTTTGCTCTGCTTTCACGACACCCACAACTGCCTGACACCGTCACCTCACTCTGTCTAATGGTCGAGCCGGCCCTGCTTCTCAGTTCTGGCCTATGCAAGCAGCAGAATTTTTTGCCTAACCCTCTTCTTGGTGTGTCATTTTTCCTCACAGGAAGTGGGGTTTTTTAAAAGTCTATTTCAGGGACTGAAATACACACACTGCTCTGCAGAATCAACTCTCTTTTGGTCCCAGTGGGTCTCAGAGACTCTTTGTTTGTTGTCTATCTTTTTAGGCCAACTTTCAACTGATGTTTTCAGAGTGGTGTATAAGAAATACAGTAACATGCAATACAAAATAGATTTGAAAAAGTACCAATCTCACTGTCCAGCTACAAATAGCAGCACTGTAGCGTCAGAGGCGCTTCAGAATTTGTGCTTTGCATGTTACCTGTTGTCTTTCCCATGTCCCTGGCTAACATCACTAAAGCTGCCCTGAAAATGACTAATGAAGGCAGCTCTCCGTAAGCAATAGCAGGGGCCCCACTTGCAATGAGCTGTGTACGTAGTGTCACACTGGGAAGCTACACTACGTGTAGACATTTGGCAACACAATAAAATACAGTGACGTACATACAGGGAGAGCCACCAACAAAAAAGCAACAATAAACTGCATCACCCAAGCTCTAGGTGACCCAGCAGGAACAAACCTATCTCCAATGTGGCAAATAAAAAGACGCAGCTCATCTAATACCTGGCTGGTTTTGAGTCTCTTTCACCTCTGCCAAAGTAGCATCCAGAGATTCCAGGGACTTCCGGTGATACTCTGCTTGAATTTCCATCAACTGCCAGACAGAAAAATAAATGCACATGTATTTTTCCCCTGAATGGTGTTTTTCTTCTGCAAGTCATATTAAACCTGTAGCATTGGCACAGGGAATTCTGTAGCCCTCCAGATGTTGCTGGACTTCAGCTCCCATCATCTCTGACCAATGGCCATGTTGGCTGGGGCTGATGGAAGCTCAGCAACATCTGGAGGGCTACAGAATTCCCATCCCTGCCCTGGAAAGAGTAAAGAGGAATTAGGGAGGTGATGATAATGATGGTGGGTTTCTTTACAGAGATGACTGTGGGGGATAGGTCTTAAGGGAAGACCAAGCTAGACATTTGAGGGGGGGGGAGGTCTCAGAAAACAGCATCCTTTCCCAGCAGAATTTTTCTCTTCTGATAGTTGCAGAAGTCCCTGATTTGGAGGCCCATAGAAAACAGAGCAAAGGGAAGTAGTTGGGGAAGGAAAATATACATTCACAAAACAGGAAGAAGAAAACCGAGAGGTGCAATTATAGAACTCCAACAAAACGCCTCTTTAGACTTTGAGAATTATCCAAAGATATGCAAAACCATCGTACAATGAAGGATGGAGCAAAGGAAAGGAGAGAGATAAGGGAACTGACTTACTTTGATAAAGTACTTAGCATAGCTGTCTTCCTTGGTTGAAAAGTGATATAGGTCTGCCATGTACTCATCCTAGAAAATGAGATGGGGGAAGCATTGTACTTTGTTCCCTTCACAAAGAGCAAACCACAGAAATATATCAGCCTCCTTTCCTGTTAACTACACCTTCCTAGCTCCCTGCAATATCCTCACCGTGACACAGTTAGATGGTGACTAGAGATCTATGAATCTGTCAGTTTCAGTGACTGTCAGTTTCTCATTTTTCCATTCTTGGTTCTCTACATTTCTGCCTCATTTTGCAGAAAGTCTTCATGTATTTTTTAATCTTTGTTGGAAGCTGCCCAGAGTGGCTGGGGAAACCCAGCCAGATGGACGGGGTACAAATAATAAATTATTAATATTATTATTATTCATCAGCATTTTACATATGCAATTTTTTCTTATGTACACAATTTAGCAGGCAAATCTATGCAATATAAGACATTACTGTAAGTTCCTTTCACCAGCATATGCCTTTTAATGGACACTTCCCCCTAATATATGCCTAGTTGTAAATATTATCTGGTTGGAGAACTGCATTGCAAAAATTTGAGAAGTGCGGTTTTCAAAGGATAGCTGTGTTTTGGTTCACAAATAGTTTCAGGAAGTGTGCATTAGGTGGATTCATATTAACATGTGAACTAAAATGGTTTTCTCCCTCTTCCCTAGTGGTGGCCTGTTTCCAGGAGACACAGCATAAATACATCTCAGGACACACACAAAATCTACAAGTGGGATCTAAGAAATCATTAGGCTGTGTGTCTATACCTCCTACTCCAACCTAGTAAATATTGCAAGGTCCTGAATACCTTATGAAGTAGGAAGAATATGATACAATGTGACTTGGCACACACTGACTCCACTCTAAATCTCATGCAGCTTCTGGGATAATAATCACATCAGTAACTAGGGATGGGTGAATCTGTCAGTTTCAGTTTCTCTTGGCTTCTCATTTTTCCATGCTTAACTTCAGTCCTCTGCATTTTCCACATCAGTTTGTGATTTTTAAAAGAAACATCCTCTTCAACATTTTAGTGCAAATGTCTCAAATATACACATTTTCATATGCTATTTCACTGAACAGACACATTTTTGCAGAACAAATTTCCTTACTATAATGCATTTTTGTTTTCCATTTTCATGAACATGAACATTTTTATGAACACTTTACTTGAGTACATGCATTTTTATACACATTGCTTGGTTGGAGAACGGCACTGCAAAATTCAGAGAAAGGCGAAATTTGAAAAAATGGCAGTGTTTCAGTTTGTGCATTGTTTCAGAAAGTGTAAATTGGGGAGGTTCGCTTTTAAATGTGAACCAAATCACATTTCTCCTCCACCAATATCAACAACTGCTCTAGTTTGCCATTTGGATCTCCTTTGTGGGATCTAAACAATGACCCACAGCACAGTGTAGCACATTCAATGGGAGTTCTGCATGGTCATGTCTGCACCAACACTCCTGTCATATTTCTCTCTCCACCCCTCATCTTTGGGCATTTCCTATACAAACATGCTTCCTTCTAACTGAGAAGGGGAATGTCAATCCCCAGCACCCCAGCCACATTTCACACCTACCTTACTCTGCTCAACCCTCCTCTTCATCTCTTCTTCCTCTTCCTTCAGATTTTCTAGTTTGATGGCAGCAGATGATGGGCCTGGGCCAGCGGCACCACTGGTATTATTGCTGGAGTTCTTGGCAGCTTGGTTCAGACTTCAGATTCCCAAAGAAGAGCCAGAGGCAAGAGTTGAGTTGATGGAATTCAAAAATTATACAGCAATGTGTTAGACATAGAGATTGATGACCTGTCTGATGCATGCAGCTAACCTCAAGTTGTAGGCGTCTGCTCAAGGTTGATGAGGAGAAGGCTTAACCATGAGCCCAATTTCAGACAACATGCTAATCAAGAAACTGCTGTGTTAGCTTTCCGGCAGGTGGGTCACTGTTGTTTACTGGGAAGGAAAGGGGTGAAGCAGCAGGGAGGTCAGTGTGATGTAAACGCACCAGCTGGAATGTTGGGTGGTCTCTGCTGGTGCGTTCACACTGACCTGACTTGCTCAACACTACAACACCCCTTCCTCCTCTCTCTAATGGTTAGCAGCAGTGAGTCAACAGCCAGAGAACTAGCAAAGTGACTCTCCTTCTGGCTTAATCCTTGGTGAAGTCACAATGAAGTACTTTGCTGCTGAATGTGGAAATAAAAACAATAACAACTAAAAAGGTAGGTATCACTGCATGTGATCAGAGTCTTTGTGTATGTGTGTTTTTATACAGACCAGCAAGGAAAACAGAGTGTGTGCTGTGGTGCAGGCTCCCATCACAGGGGAGACCAACTTGTTGACACACAGCTAAATGGGCAAACAGGTGGAGATAGCCATTAGAGACATGGCTAGGGTAGGAAAAGGTAAAAGGTAAAGAAAAAGAAGAAGAGTTTGAATTTGATATCCCGCTTTATCACTACCCAAAGGAGTCTCAAAGCAGCTAACATTCTCCTTTTCCTTCCTCCCCCACAACAAACATTCTGTGAGGTGAGTGGGGCTGAGAGACTTCAAAGAAGTGTGACTAGCCCAAGGTCACCCAGAAGCTGCATGTGGAGGAGCGGAGACGCAAACCTGGTTCACCAGATTACGAGTCTACCGCTCTTAACCACTACACCACACTGGCTCTCAGGACACCTGGACAGTTAAGTCCAGTCAAAGGCGACTATGGGGTGCAGCACTCATCTCGTTTCAGGCCGAGGGAGCTGGCGCTTGTCCACAGACAGCTTTCCAGGTCATGTGGCGAAGATGATTAAATCCCTACTGGTGCACAGAGGATTGTGACAGAAGCCAGAATGTACGGAAACACCGTTTACCTTCCCGCCACAGCAGTACCTATTTATCTACTTGCGCTGGTATGCTTTCAAACTGCTAGGTTGGCAGGAGCTGGGACCGAGCAATGGGAGCTCACCTCGTTGTGAGGATTCGAACTGCCGACCTTCCGATCAGCAAACCCAAGAGGCTCAGTGGATAGGGTATATATCAGTTCAGTGTCCATGTTGATCTAACATTGAAAGATTGATGCTTCTACCACCCCCATGTACCCATCTTCCCCAGCCTTTTCCTTTTTTGGTTTGTTTGTTTTAGAAAAAGGATGATGACTAAAGTAGAGTCAGAAGCTTCATCAGCTGGCCCTGTGCAGAACCATCTGTGTCAGCCTACAATCCCCTTTACAAATAAGTTACTCAGTTATTTCACTGCCTTTGAACAGCACAGAGAGTGTTTAAAGCACAGCTGATGTAACAGAAAATGACTTCCCAAACATGATGATGGACCCGTGGCTGAGGAAGGGCTACATTTCAAGGACTTAGTCCTGTTTCTGCTCTTGGGCAAAAGCAGCCAGATCCCAATGGATCTCTTTTGCCAAATTAGTCAAGCTTTCCTGCACCATCTCTCCCCTTCCCTCCCCCTCTCAGTACCGGCTCTTGATGGCATTCCAGTCTGAAATATGTTTCTGAAGGTTCTTTTTGTGCTTCAGGATGGTGGGCAGCTCTTCCTGGAAGAGATGGGGATGGGGAAGGATGAGTCACACACCAGTAGCACTTGCCCGTTGGTTAGGAATTACCACCAGTACTTCCACACTAGGCTTTTACTGCGAAGAAAGGAAGCTGCATTATACCAAGTCAGATTGTTCATCTATCTAGCTCAGTATTGCCCACAGCTCTCCAGGGTTTCAAACAGGCATCCTTCCTGGTCCTACCTAAAGATGGCAGGGATTGAACCTTGAACCTCCTATATGAAAAGCAGATGCCCTTTCCCTAAGGTGAAGCCCTTCCATACATGTGGAATCCCTGTACTTCAGTCACTTCCATTTTCCCCACCAGCCACACTCCACCTTAGAACCTTTAGTGCTAAGTGCATCTACATCGCCAATCATAGCCATCCTGTGTTTTTCCCTGTTGTTCCTCCAACTTTTCCCAGGCTGGGGAAAAAAAAAAGCCTGACATTTTTTACAGAACGGAAGAGCAGTACAATCTCCACAGGTGTAGATGCAAAGCAGGGCTTTGATATGGGTAGTGCAGGTGAGCCGGCCACAACTCAGTACACTTGTGCAATATGTCACTTTTGTAAATGTGTGCCGGCTTGTGGCAGGCTCACCTGTGCAATATGTCACCATCACAAGTCAGCACGCATTTACAATAAAATGGCACCCATTGCCACACAGGTTATCACTAAACACCAGAAGTCACCGGAAAAATGCTGTGGTTTTTTTTTTTTTTAAAGTGGATTTGTTGTGCTTGGGAAACAGAGTGCTTTAATCCACTTTAAATGTACAAACCTAAAGCATAAACTTGAAAAATGATGACATTCTCTGGAGCCACCCTAAGTTTCTATGCAAGCTTTTTTTGGCTGAAGAGGATGATAACAATTCCTTACATAGATAAAAAAGAGTGTTCCATAGAGCTCATACCCTACCATGCTCATCTTTAACAGATGAAGAAATAAATATGACGGAAACTTTTAACCATCTTGCTAAAATTGCAGGGTCTGAAAAGGATTCCTCCCCTTCATGACTGTTTAAATATAGCATTATTACATATAAAAGGGTATCAAAATGCAAATAATTTAGAAAATAACATACAAAGATGCAGAATTATGGGGAAATTGGCCTGCTAAAATGTGTATATTAGGGGAAATGGCATAGAAAATGTGTACAATAGGAGAAAGTCACAGTAAAATGCTCGTGGATGTTCATGAGGGCTTTTTAAAAAAACAAACCACAGAGTGATGTGGAAATGTGAAAAACTGAACTTAAAAATGGAAAAACGAGAAAGTGTGAAAAACCAAAACTGGCAGATTTGTTCATCCCTACATTTCACGATGCAAATTTCTTTTTAAAGCATTTTAGCGCTTATTCAAAATTGATGGGTTGTAAAAATGTCAGTCACCTCTGTAAAGATTGTAGTGAATATGTGTTTAGCTTCAAATGGCAGTTAAGGGGAACTGGATCTTTGCTTTCCGCACCCCCAGCAGCTATATCACTCCCCTTGGTTTGGACAGAACAACACGGTAGAATGTACACATAGAAAAAGCTTGAGCTTCCCAAGAATGTGGAAAGTGGATTGCAGTTCTTCTTGTGGCTTACAGTGGAAGAGCAATGATTGGTCAGTGCCAGGAGACACCCATCTGGAGGCAGCTTTTTACATGCAGCAGTAAGGGGTGGGGGGGGGAGAGGAGAGAGGGAACAAACAGAAGACCAGGCAGAAAAGAGGGGAAACGGAAGATGAGGAGAGAGGGAGATGAAGAATACCTCGCTCAGTTTATTGAGGGGTTGTAGGACGTCTCGCTCGAGGGCCATTTCAAACTCAGCAAGGATCCTGGCTAGCATAGTCTGAATGAAGCAACTCATTTCTAGGGCTTTCCTGTAAGCAAAGAAGGAAGAAAGAGTTACAGTAGTGTATATAACCAGAGCCAATACCTCTCCATGGCCTGAAAAATGAGGAGTATGAGTCCTCAGTGAGCTCGCTCTCTCTTTCTCTCTCTGGGGCTCCATCTGGCAGAACTAAACCATCACTGTAAAGGAGATTGCAGGATGTGGGAGGGAAATGTTATTGTGTGTGTGAAAACATCAATATACTAGCAGTAAAAAAAAAAAGCTGAGTTAAAACCTCTCTTCCCCCTCCACTGTGGTGCCATTTTATATACCCAGCAGCTATTTACTAAACAAAAAAGCAACCAGTTACCATTCCATCTAGTCTGGCCCCAGTTCTGAATCGCTGCACTTGGGGGTTATAGAACTTATGCAGGCTTTAATCTGAGCACCAGGGCCTGATCCATGGCCCTTCCCAAAAACACACATCCCAGATGTCATGTTTTGTGTTCAGCGCTGATGCGGCACCTATCCGATGAAAGGTAGATCAAATGGATCTAGCAGGAGATCAGCCTGTGTGGCACAATATCAGTCAGTGGTTGCCTCCAGACTGTCAATATTTTCTGGGGGGAACTGAGGCGCAGACCAGGTTAAAGCACAAACAATTTCAATTAGGGGAAAAGTGGACTTCTTGCGGTTAGGAAAGTAACGGAAATGGACTGAAAGGTGTAGGAGGAATGGTTATCACTGAGAAAACGTACAGTGGTGCCTCGCAAGACAAAATTAATTCATTCCGCGAGTTTTGTCGCCTTGCGATTTTTTCCGTCTTGCGAAGCACGGTGTCGGGAAAGTTTTGGAAAAGCTTCAAAAATCACCAAAGTCTTAAAAAACCTCAAAAAAGGCTACCACACCGCGTTCTATGAGTTGCTCCTCGAAGTCAAGTCGCAACTGTATTAACGGTGTTAAGAAAAAGGAAACAAACTTGCAAGCCCATAGGGAAAATCGTCTTGCGAAGCAGCTCAAAAAACAAAAAACCCTTTCGTCTAGCGAGTTTTTTGTCTTGCGAGGCATTCGTCTTGCGAGGTACCACTGTATAACCACCATGCAAACTAATTGGGATGAATGCACATTGTCAATATAACTTCCCTGCAAACAGATCAGAACGGATACTCAGCAAAAACTGTACATTGCCGAACCTTCACAGAAGCTTTGGGCAAGCAAATCAGGATGGATGCTCAATAAGCAGGTCACCTAGAATAACCTAGTGACCCTCATTCTTCCCAGTGCCTTTTCTATGAGGTGTCCTCCGGCCCTCCACTTGGGTTTAACACCACAGTTCCCAAAGACAGCTGCCATCCATTCTGTCTATAGTGTTGCACAGCTGAAGAAGGAAGGGATAACAGCATGACATATATTGCCTGTTAAACAGGGAGAAAATGTGGCATAGGACAGGGTTCCCCACTGAAGCTGACCCCTATTTTCTGTGCAGAGGTATTGCCCAGCAGCTGAATGGTGTGTAATGCAGATTTTATACCTGTGATGCACCTTAAAGCACACAGCCATAACCCAAAGCAAGGCATGGTAAACAGACAGGGCAGACACAGTCCGTGATATAACACCAATGCAAGGAGTCCCTCAGTTTGCTGTTCTAATTCTGCAGAAAGGTTTCTTGATCAATGTAAGTCATATTTTAAGTAGAAAGGGTATTGCCTTTTAAGAAATACACTGCATTTAAAAAACAACACAGTTCTATCTTGCAAAGAAGTTCCCTGATTTAGATTTGGTGGTGATTTTTCATACCATCATGACAAAATAAGGGCATCCTTCCTGTGAGCAACTTGGGATATATGTTGCTTGCTTATGTTCTACAGATCAACAGTTTGTGTACACCTTAATCTATAAAACACACTGATTCTTACCCAAGGCTGGAATCAGTGTCTAGCTCTTTGAAGCTTTCTGCCATGGTCATCGATAGCGCCATCAAAGGCAATTTTTTCTGCAGAAAGAATTGGAAAGTGAGAAGATACAATGAGCAAACAAGATAAATACACAGCCTTTTCCTGAAACAGAGTGAAGCTCTCCAACATCTGCCAATATATAATTCATAATTCATAATTACAGCAGCTACCCCATGTCCCATACAAGTAATTGGGGTGGTGAAATTAGCTAGACCAGATCAAGTAGTTTGTAGCCTGGTCCGTTTCGTTGTCAAGAGAAATGTACTTGGAAGCGATGGAAATTTAAAGACCAATTTAAAGGAAAACAGAGTTTAAACAAAATATGAAAATATTCTTGAAATGCAGGTATGGGAGCAGGTAGAACACATTATTTACCTAACTAAAAACCAATTAAGAAAAAAATACAAACTGCTTTAGTGGAACGTTCAAATATTGGGTGCACTATATTGTTTGGAAGGTGGAGAAAACTTGGGATGCTGGGTAGCCTGCTTTAATGCCAATTGAAAGCAATTAGGAGGAGGGGGGAAATAGCAAGTTGCCTATTATCAATGTGGACACAGTGGTTCTATGATGCAAATTTGGAACAAAATTTTAAAAGCTCCAGTAATTGGGGTGCAGCAGCAGAACAAATACTGGACATCAGAAACAGTGTCCAGGTGCAAATTGCGAATTTTGGCAAATTTCAGTAAAAATAGCTGGAAAAGCTCAGCAAGTTTTGTGTCCAGATTTTCACTTCTTGAAATAGGGCACTCTTATGTATGTCTACTACTTTTGATGAGATACAGACAGGTTTAGTGTCAGTTGTTGGCAGTGCCAGACACTTGCCAAGGCCTAAAACTCAGCAAGGGCAGGCACAGTGCTGAAGGAACAGTAGCTGTCACTGCCTGCTCATACACCTGCATGTTCCTTTCTGGAAGGTTGTAGAGTGGTACCTTGGTTCCCGAACAGCTTAGATGCCAAATGAATCAACTCCCAAATGCTGCAAACCTGAAAGTAAGTGTTCCGGTTTGCGAACGTTTTCCGGAAGCCGAATGTCCAAATCTGCTTCCTCTTGAGTGCAGGAAGCTCATGCAGCCAACTGGAAACCGCGCCTTGGTTGTCGAATGGTTTAGGGAGTTGAACGGACTCCTGGAATGGATTAAGTTCGAGAACCAAGGTACCACTGTACTAGGGATTTAGTCCAGAGGCAAAAGCAAGCAAGCAGATGATTGTGGAAAGGAAAAACAGGGTTGTCTTGCCTGAGTTGCTACCCCTCTGCCCCCACCCCCACAAAAATATCTGAGCACAAGCACACCTGTTATGAAACCCACAAAGGGAACGCTAGCCAAAGATGACAGATCATAGGATGTGTTGTTACTTAGTGTCAGTTATCAACAGAAAGTTACACAACATCCAACAATCTGGATATACCTGTAGAGATTAAATTTTATGCCCAGCCCTGGAACAGATCAAGGAAGCCTGTTTACATCCCCTACTATGAAAGACAAAATCTTACAGAGCTGGCTGAATTAGATCTGCAGGGGTTTTAAAAATCAACCCACGTGTGCATTCAGGCCCTAGTGTGTGGACACAGCCTATATAAATGTATACTGTATATTGGAAAGTTGCCTGTCCATTCACTATGCATTCAAACACCTCTTAGGACATGGCAACCAATTTCTGTTAGATAGTTCCTGAGATCAAGGGCAGGTTTTCGTCTCTGTTTGGGTACAACTGGATACCATTTTGAATCAAGATAGCAGAATGAACCTTTGGGAGATTCCCAAGAGAGACTGCTAGGTCTAAATAAACTTGGAGGTCTGTGATTAGAAATCTCAATGTCTTTCTTTCTTTTTCATATAAAACAGCCATAGAAGGTAAGGTAGAAATTAGGGTCAGGGCAGAGGCAGTAGTACTGTGGACAGGAGGATCTTACTCTTTGCCCCTGTGCTGCAGTCACAATCCAAAATCCCCACCATTCAAAGCAGCTATGAGCTGCAGAAAGAGGAATTTGTATTGGGGAAATGGCCCAGGGCAAAGGTTAAGGGCTGTGTCCATACACCCTTTACTGTGCATTCACTGAGTTTCCAGTGCGGGTTTTTAAATCTGTGTTCACACAACGTTATCCAAAATGACTCTTGGTGTGTACACAAACAGAAATGAATCTGACACTAATGAAGTTGTGCTGATGTGAAGAGCTGTGAAATGCACCAGGGGCTGGGGGGGGGGACTTCATTGCTTGGAGGCAGTAGTGAACACAACCCAGAGACCAAGGGAAGACAACCTGATGCCTTCCAAACGTTGCTGGACTGCAGCTTCCATCATCCCTGACCCTTGTGGCCAAACTGGGGTTGATGGGAGTTGTAGTCCAGGACACCTGATGGGCACCAGGTTGCCTATTCCTGGGTTAGACCCTCTTCCTCTGTGCTATGACCCTAAGCCACTTTTAAGGAAGAAGAAAAATATGCCAACCACTGAACTCCCATATAACCATTGGTTTACTTGACGCTGAAAGAAGAGAGGCAAACACTCTTACCACCCGTTTGTCTATGTCTGCCCCATATTGGCCTTGGAGACAAGCCAGGAGCCTCTTCTGGACATTGTGAGCAGCACGCTTGGCTGGTTCAATCCTCTGTTCAATCTGGAAAAAAGGAGAGTGAAAGAAAATGAGGGGAAAGATTCCCTCACTGCATCTGTCCCTGTTTGAGAGTGTCTCTCTCCTTCCAAGATCTCCTGCAACACCACAGAGGGAAGCGTCTTGTTCTGTTCATCTTCCACAAGATTCCATGCAGATTTTGGCATTAGGGACAACATTTGGGTTTCTGATTTCTCAGTTTTTCTGGCTCTCAACAATGTAAAGATATTTGAAAACAGAAAGGGTGGTATTCAACCGACTTTTAGGCAGGGTAGACACACTGAAATGAATGGAACTAATGTTAACAGTCTGCTCTGAGTAAAAATTGGTTGGCTACCACCCATTGACCTGTCAATGGTATGCACCCCACCCTGAGGTTGCTTACAGGTGAACTGTCAAAGTCACAGAGGTTTTGCAGCCCATAAAGACTACACAATTAATTTAAGTAAACAGAGACAATCTATACACACATTTATAGGAACATGTGAGCGGATCAAGAACGAAAGAGGAAGCTTGAGTGCCCAAGTAAATGATGTGTTTAGATCTTCAGATTAAGGGTAAATGTTTGCCAATGGACTTAAAGAGCTGAGTTGTTCTGCACCACACCATTCTTTCATCCATTCCTGTCTATTCAGCTCTTCTGCCTCTCAGTTGTCCATCTCTATAACACACCTTGTCGATTATGCCTGGAGAAGGACAGTGGCACATTCAGAGAGTATCTGCCTTGCATGCAGAAGGTCCAAGGTTCAATCCTGGGTGTCTCCCAGCAGGGCAGGGTCCCTGGAGAGCCACCGGCAGTCAGGGTAGACAGTACTCATCTAGATGGACTAAAGGCTTGACTCAGTATAAGGGAACTCTGAATTATGCGACTCCTCAAATATTAGATTAACTGGTGGTGGGCTCTCATTTGCTTGAGATCTTTAAGGAGAAGATGGATGTGTTGGCACCTGTCAAGGCCACATGATTCTGCCGTGAGTTGGACTTGATGGCTCTTTGCAACTCTTAACATTCTATGGAGAGAGATGCAATCAGATTCCATGACCTGGTTTCGCTCTACTTTACTACTTTACTCTCCTGCTCCTGGCCAGGGATACCAATAACTCCTGAAACCCTGGGCTAGTTGTGGCATCATGCTGCAGAATGCACCCCCATGAATAAATTGAAGCACAAATAGGCAAGAATATGTTTGCTGTGGAATACTTTCTTCTGCATAACTTGCGGTCTATTAGCAGCCTGCTTTTATCTCATAGGCTTAGTACTACAGACATTAGAAATATCACAGAAGTACAGATTTTGTGGTACAGAATAGGGGTGTGTGTGTGCCTGTGTGTACATGAAACCATTCTTTTGCAAATTAGTTGCCCTAGTGGCTTTCAAATCTGCCCCTTGCTCTGAGTTGTTGAGATCTCCTGGGACCCACTCTAACAGTAATGTTTGTTGCTCTTTGAAGCTTAAAAGTCACCTCTCCCACTGGAACTTCTGGATCATTCTTCAGGGAGTGGGTAAAAACCCAGAGCAAAACTGTCCTGTGACTCAGGCATAAGCAGAGAGCAAATAAATTACACCTGAAGACAAGGGACTCTTTCTCTCCATACCTGCAGGTACAGGTAAGCACATGCCCACTGATCAGACCCACGCCTCACCTGGAGCAAGTCTTCTGTCAAGTATTCTGCTGTTTCTTGGGCTCTAGGAAGAGGCAGCAAAAAACAAGAGACAAAGAGACAAACTATACATTAATGCTATATGTTTTAGCACCTTCTTCATTTGTGGCTGCAGAGGAGGAAATCAGAAGAAATTTCTTTCAGAGTAATGGATACTGGCAAACTTGTCTTCGATATCAGGAGTCACTTGTTTTATCTGCCGCCTGTTTTGTACAATAAGGCAGAACACTCTGGCTAAAAGAAGTACTGTGTTTATTAGGCTTTTACAGTGCTTTTTTTCTGGAGGGACGCAGGGGTACGCATACCCCTAAACATTTTGTGAATCTAAGTTTGGCCTCATTGAGGGGCAGGATTTCAGTATGAGTAGGAAAATGAGAATACCCCTAAACAATTTTTTTAGGGGAAAAAAAGCACTGGGCTTTTATATTTTGACATTTTCAAACACATCAGTGTTGGACAGTAGGAAAAGCTTGTCTGCATCTCTGTTGCGTTATTTATCACATTTGTACCAGGTCATTTTATTGAGGAGTTGTGAGCAGCATATATGTTGGAGATCCCGTTTAATCCTTCCCTGGAAAAGAGAGAATGGCTGGCCTAAGGTCCTCTGGTGAACTTCACAACTGAGTAGCACTTCCATTTCCAAATCCATCAACTCTATCAACTGCAGTGGTACCTCGGGTTACATACGCTTCAGGTTACATACGCTTCAGGTTACAGACTCCACTAACCCTGAAATAGTACCTCGGGTTAAGAACTTTGCTTCAGGATGAGAACAGAAATCGTGCTCCGGCGGCGCGGCAGCAGCAGGAGGCCCCATTAGCTAAAATGGTGCTTCAGGTTAAGAACAGTTTCAGGTTAAGAACAGACCTCCGGAACGAATTAAGTACTTAACCCGAGGTACCACTGTACCTGCTTAGAATGTCCAGAATTATTTTTACATGATTGAACATAAGACAGCGCTCCATGAAGTGATTCTGTTGGCACAAAGATTTCTGCTTGCACAATGAAACTTTTCCTTCCTCTCTTCTTCCCATGCAACCACCCAAATCTGCTCTGGGGAATTGGGGTAACCTTGAGAATGGGCTTTAGGGGACACACGTGAAGAAAAGAGAGGAGGAAAGTTTCGCTGGCCATGCAGTGCTAACAACTACTTTACGGACTACAGCCCTTAGCCTTATTATTCTGTCTCTCACATTTAATCTTCTTGTCTTTTTCATGCCATATACTTCATGAAAAGGAGTCTGATTTCTGCTAGAATGTTGCTGCCTTTGCCAGCCCAGGAGTTTCAGAAAGATAGAAGGGCATGTTGGATTATGATTTCTGTTGTTGGTTGTGTATAACAAGGGAAAGTATCCCTGGGGGGAAAAATGGAGCATTTAGCACAAAACCCCTGACCCTTGATAGGCCATTGGCATAAAAGATGGGATGGACGGATAGAAAGACTGACAGACAGATACAAAAAACCCCTCTGCGTACAAATCAAGATCAAGGTGTAATCAGTTCAGACTGTCTTCCCTGGCTCTCCACTCCCTGGCTTGAAAGGACATTGAAGGTTTCTGGGTAGAGGGGAAAGAGCATATACTGAACCTTTATGTGGATGATCTCGAGTTGCGTTGTGTAATCTGAAACAGCAATACCTGTATGTACTGGAAAGGAAACTCAGTGCATTCGAATGCCTGGGTAGCCTTAAAATTAACTATGAAAAGTCTAGTATACTGTTCCCCAATGTCAAACCATGAGACCAATTGGATATACAATGGTTAATGAAATTCCTATCTGTCCCAGAGTCTTTAAGTACTTGGGGGTGTTTATACTCCAAAAATTAAGGAAATTGTTTACTCTAAATTGTCATCAGTTGGTAAAAAAAGTAAAGAAAATAATTAGGAGATGCTGGGGGGAGGGGATTGTCCTAATTAAGGAGGATTGCAGTGATCCAGATGAAAGTACCAGATGTTTCCGTCTATAAGACGCACCCATTATTTTGGGTGACTCCGATTTAAGAAAACGGGGGAAGATCTATCTGTGTATAAGATGCCCCCCAATTTTGGTCATTATTTTTTAGGAAAAAACCTAGTCTTATACACAAAAAATATGGTAATTCCAATGTTTCTGTATGTATTTCAGGTTTTCTCCATCCCCTGCAACTTGAATGTATGAAAACACTGGCACATACTTCTGAATGACTACCGGTATGTCTTTCAAGGCAAGAAATCTAGACTGCTGCTGAGACATATGTATGACAGACAGAATGGAGATGGATGGGGATTATCCCATCTTTCTCATTATGATGAAATATACTGTATTTCTATTTAAATTGTAGTAATTAGTTCTAAATTTATTTCTATATGTATACGTTAGCACATGCAAAATTGCAAGCAAATCTATGTCCTCTCTTTTGGCAATGCATATGTTGCCACTCTAGTCTGGCTTGCTTTCCTGCCTTCCTTCAGACTGTCAGCTGAATCCTTCATGCTAAAGGTTGGGTATTCCCAGTGGCTAGTATACCTTTGAACTTGCTTTGAGATGAGAACCACATCCATACACTTAAACGCTATTGTACCATTTTAACAATCATGGCTTCCCCAAAAGAATCCTGGGAATCATGTAGTTTGTCAACTGTGCTGACCTCACAGAGCTACAATTCCCAGCACCCTCAATGAGCTACAGTCCATGACTGTTTAAGCAGTATGTTTTAAATGTATGGTGTGGTTGTCACCCATTCTTAGACCCTAGAAAGCACTGCAGCCTAGAAACAGAGGAACTATAACTCAGTTGTCTCCAAGGGCAGATTATTCAGCATCACTTTTCAACAGAGGAAATCTCAGACATGTAGCTCCGCCTCTACCTCCTACTACTTAGTCTGTCATGGGGTTACACTTACACAGGGAAAAATATATGCAATTCAGGTTCTTCTCCTTTCAGGAACAAGGCTGCACCCAGAATGAAGGGTAAGGGAAGAGGAACTCTCAGCAATACTGAGGTGTGTGACACAGTTCAAAGAGGGTTTGCATAGAGACTCCAGGATAAAGTTAAAGAGAATGGCTGGGGCAAGCCAGTCAGATGGGTGGGGTACAAAGAACAAATTATTATTATTATTATGACATTGATGAAGAAGCTGCTGAGGCAGCGGAAAGGGTGATAAGGAGACAAAAGCTCCCAGGATTTAAATGTTTACAAGGCCCTTCCTTCCCACCATGGGAATCCTGCATTCGCAGCAGAGGAAATAATTCCTGCGGTTTGTAACTTAACATTAAACCTGCTCTCTTAACCACCTCACTTTCCACTTCTGAGACAATTACAGATCTAAAACACTTCATTTGCATCCTATTCCACATATTAAATGAAGGCTTGTTGAAAACCTGTTGCTTCAAACATGGAGACAGGGAGATAAATAAGGGTGTTTATAGAAAGGGGATTAATATTGTAATCAGGCCATTGGCAACAGCGCTGCTGGTTTGGTTTGTTTGATAATGATGATGATGATTTCTTATTGGATTACACCTAGGCAGGGTAAATCTGGATGAAATGGACAAAAAAATATGCTAGAATTTCATGTGGAAACTTCAGAAGCTTGCATATGTAAGCAACACCAATTGCACCATAAACTTCTCTCTAGAAGCACTTACATGATGTAAAGGGACCCTTGACCATTAGGTCCAGTCGTGACCAACTCTGGGGTTGCGGCGCTCATCTTGCTTTATTGACCGAGGGAGCTGGTGTACAGCTTCCAATTCATGTGGCCAGCATGACTAAGCCGCTTCTGGCAAACCATTGCAGCACATGGAAACACCGTTTACCTTCCCACTGGAGTGGTACCTATTTATCTACTTGCAGTTTGACGTGCTTTCGAACTGCTAGGTTGGCAGGAGCAGGGACTGAGCAACGGGAGCTGACCCCGTCGCGGGGATTCGAACTGCCGACCTTCTGATCAGCAAGTCCTAGGCTCTGTGGTTTAACCCACAGCGCCACCCACGTCCCTACATGATGTACATAGGAGCAAAAATTCCTAACATCACACACGTGCTAATGAAAACTCAGCTGGTGGTAAGAGAACATGAGGTTTTGATAGCTAATAACAGAAATGCAAATGTCAACCCTGGGTGCAGCAGCTGCTGAAAAGGTGAATTCCATGCTAGTGATTATTAGAAAAGTGACCCAACACTGGCGTGCCTTTAGAAATATGGTTTAATGACACATATTTACACCCTTAATTTATGGAGAGGGAGTACAGATCTTACAGCATGGTCGTCTCGAGAGGGGCTTGTTCCCCACAGAAGTGAAGCATCTCTCCCCACCTGCCTTCAGCCAGCCAGCCAATATTGTTTTGCCATTTTCTTAGTTGTGCCAAAGGCCCCCAACTCTTCCTGTGACATCACACGGTTACCATGGCAACCTTCCAAATCTCCTGCCTCTGTTCACACCTCAGGACAGGGGGGAAGGACCGTTCTTCAAAATGGCCTTGGGTTGTTTCTTAATGGCCCTAGCGTGGCCAGATCATTTTGCATAGGCTAACCTAGGAATTCCTCTGCCGTTTGAATTTCTCCCTTCACATCCCATTCTACTATTCACTAACAGAAAAAAATATTTTTTTGTTGAGAATTTGACAAAGAAGCTCAACAACGTTGGCCAAAACTAAACAAAAAACCAAAACAAAAAGCTATTGTGTCACATTTTGAAACATGGCAACCCTATTATACAGATACTTTATATCTTTGGTGTGTTCACATTCTGGCTGCCACAAATAAAAAAGGATGTTGTAGAGCTGGGAAGGGGCAGAACTGGGCATCCAACTGATCGGTGGGCTGGTGCAACCCATCTATGAGGAGAATTTAATCCATCTGGGGCTTTTAAATTTGGGGAGGGGGCATTAAGGAAAGAGGGATATGATTAAGGTTGATAAAATTCTGCCTAGTGTTGGGAAATATAATAAGACCCAGCTAGAAATCTAGAAATTTAGAAGTCTCTCACTGAATCTCCTACCCAGGTTTCCTGAGGAGAAGGAGTGACTGTTAAACCAGTGTTGTCTGTGGTGTGTAGATAAACACTTAATGTTAAGCAACTGCAGAGCAGATCCAGCTTTAGCTGAAGGACCCAAGTGCACCAGAGGATGTGAAGAGTGGAGCAGGCCTTGAAATGCTTTCTGCTGTGAAAGAACAGGAAACCATCAATTGAGGTGGGAGGAGGGAGACAGAAGCTGTGCATACTGGCAATATGCATATATTTCAAGTACATTCCCTCTCTCCGAAGAATACTGGGAAACATAGTTTGTTAAGGAAGTTGTGAATTGTAGCTCTGTCAGGGAGGGTAAACTACAGTTCCCATTATTCTTTTTGGGGGTCTGTGTGCTTTAAATGTATGGTATGCATGCAGCCAGGAAACAGAAGGAACTGTTGTAGAAATGAATTTAGCAAGGACTATATCACTTGTTTGGGGCTTTATGTATACATATTTGGATTATATGTAATATGCACACATCAACAGGATACAAGTGTATCAAAATCTATTCAAATACAGCACTTGTGAACGAATGTTTTTAAAGTGGGCTAGAAAGTAGGAGGGAGCCATTAAAACATTTAAATTGATGTACACAGTATCAAAAAACACAATTTGTTTTTGGGTTTTTTTAACGGTGAGGTGTGTAGTTGGTAATTATTCTAATTTTATGTTGTCAATCTAGACTGAATTTTTCTTACAAGTATACAGAGATATTGCCGTGGATCTAAGATGGCCCCAACGTTTTAAAGCATAGATATAAGGAACTATAGTTGTACATTAAAAACGAACTAAAAAGCTCTGGAGATATTAATTTAGGCTGCAGAGTTTAAGGAGGAGTGGAGTTTTACATGCTAGGTTGCGCTTAGGCTCCACTGAAATTGAATGTGGAAAGTTATGCCTTAAATCCTGTTGATTTAATCCAAGTCTGCATCTGCCCTATTGTCCTCACTCTGAGGGTTCTTCTTACTCTTTCACTGATATATAGGAGGGTTAAAACAGAAAGCACAATATAGTAGGTTTTCCCCTATGCAGCAATGTATTTAAATCTCTCTTGCGAAAATGGCTGATGTGAGCAACTACTTGCTCTGCAAAAGATTCTCCTCCTCACCCAGCCTGGAGTGAGATGAGTAACAACTAAATTCAACCTTCACATCACAACAGCTAGACAGGGAAGACGGGAAAATCAGCTCTGGAACACCCAAGAGCCCAGCCCTGATGCTTATGTCATTCCTTGTGCTTTCAAAAGTAGAGCAGGGGATGGTAGAAGCTGGGCATGACCAGGTGGAAAAATAAAACAGAGAAAGGATCTTCTCCTCATTGAGAAACTTCCCACCTCCATCAAACCATTTTTTGGTCTGTTTAGTTAAGGTGGGCAACACTTTCAATTTTGGTTTCTCCAGTCGTAAGCTCAGTTCTCCAAATTTTCCTATCAGTTTGGATTTAAAACAAAACAACAACAAAAAACCCCACAAAGTCCTCATGAAAATTCATCAGTGTTTTAGTGTGAATTTCTCCAAATATACATTTTTTGGGGGTATGTAGTTTTTCCTAACAAATACATTTTTGCAAAGCAATTTTAATGTTAGATGCATTTTTGTGCACACTGTAAGCTAGTATGTGCATTTTTATACACATTTCTTGGCTGGAGAACGGCACTGCAAAATTCAGAGAAGTGTGAATTTTGAAGGGCAGCTGTGTTTAGGTTCTCAGATTGTTTCAGAAAGCTCTGATTAGGAAGGTTTGCCTTTAAATGAGAAGTGAACCAAATTTCTCCCCCATCCCTACTGACTAGTGGAGCACATACTTTTCTCAGCCCTGGGATTTCAGAGTACTAATCCCATCCAGCTGTGGGTTGTGCACACACTGCCAATGACTCACCACCCAGTGGTTCGGGAAGTGGTGTACACACAACCTTGGCCACAATCCATATCTATCCTTTCGTTTCTTGTGAAATCCTGCATTTGATGTGTTTCCCGCCAAACTAGCTTCAGTCAGAATTGAGAAAAGAATGTCCTTGCTGCATTTTAAGCCAGCGATGGACTCACTGAGTGGGGTCAGTCAGGCAACTCAAAAACACAACAAAAGAGTCAAGCCTCAGGTTCCAGGATGGGGAACCTGTGGCCCTCTAGATTAACATCATCTAGAAACTACAATTTCCATCATCCCTGATCACTGTGGTCATGCTGGATGGGGCTGATGGGAGTCCAGCAACATCTGGAGGGAGACATGTTAGCCATAAGTGATCGAGCCAATGCTATTTTGTTTAATGTTATTTACAGAGCATGAAAAGCTCAGCATGTTTGTTTAAGGTATCTGCAATAGCTATGTATGTATGTATGTATGTATGTATGTATGTATGTATGTATATTCCACCTTTCATCCAAGGGGGAGGGTTGTTGTTTCGCTTGCATTATGTCATGTATTTTGTGGGGGCTTTTGTGATCCACGGATGAAAGGCAGAATATAAATTTAATAAGTAAATAAAAGAGTGACTGGCCCAAGGTCACCCAGTGAACTTTGTGGTTGAGTAGGGATTTGAACCCTGGTCTTCCAGATCCATGTCCAACACTCTAACCAGTACACTGCACAGATTAATGATACTGGTAATGATAAATTATAGGGCCTTTGAACCCTCTGCTCCACAAAGTGGTTAGCTGAAACAGCAACAGCTATTGATCCCTTTCTTATCAACCTACAGTTAGAGACCCTCCAAGTGTCCCTATTTTCCAGGGACATCCCTAATTTAGAGAAGCCGTCCTGGTTTCTGATTTGATCCTGGAATGTCTCACTTTACCTTGAGATGTTCCTATTTTCACTGGAGAAATGTTGGAAGGTATGGAGTTATCCATCCCCCAAGCTGTCATAAGGCAATCCTGTATAGGGAAGCTTTTAAATGTTTAATGTTTTATTGTGTTTTTATATATGCTGGAAGCTGCCTAGAGTGGCTGGCACAACCCAATAAGATGTGTGGGGTATAAATAGTAAAATTATCATTATGGGACATTGGAGGGTTGGAGCAGTTACTACCTGGTGCAACCTGGTCTAAAGGCTTCATATCTACAGATCCCCATCCCGAGATATACTTGATATCCAACACCACAAAGCAAAATGGAAGACACGGGCCTTCCATTGACACCAGGTACTTAATGGCCTGAGGGAATTACTAAAAAGCAAATCCCTACAGCTCTCTGCTTCTTTCTCATAGGCAGGGATATATGAATTGCTGGAATTACACACAAGAGCAGAACCCATCCGAGAACCTCAGATTTCATTGAAAAGAACGTTTGTATATTAAATTTATATCCTGCCCTTCCTCCCAACCAAAAGAGCCTAGAGCTGCATGTAATGTAAAAATAGGGTTAGGAGTATCTGGATAATCTAAAAACACACACAAAAAAATCCAAGAAACAAGAAAACAAAACCCAGAGGGCTTGCTGAGTTGCACCAGAGTGAACATGGCTGTTACTATTTTTCTTCACATTTGTACTCCACCCTTCCTCTGGTGAGTTGAGCATGGCATTCGTGGATGTGGATTACCTCACTTTATTCTCTGTGCAGCAGGTTAGGCGTGAGTATGTATGAGTGGCCCAAGGTCACCCAAGGGGCAAATGTGGCTGAGAACTCAGATCTCACCCCCCAGCTGAAGTCCAGTGCTCTAGTGCCTTACATAGCTTCCTTGCACCCATTTGCCTCAGAAATAAGCACACCTTGCGGACTACACACAGTACCCTCTGATCTCAGGGACATAGCACTTGTTCCACATGCTGGCAGGGGCGGATGGGAGCGGCAGTTCAGAACATCTGGAGGACACCAGGGTGGGGAAGACTAGTCTAGGGCCATAAATTTCCTTGATAATCCTGTTGCATGGTCAAGTTCTCTTTACCGCTTGGCAAGAAGATACAGACAAATATGCCTGCCAGAGGGGTGCATGGGGATGGCAGGGTGATGCAGCAGAGAATAAAAGCAGGAGAGGCTGGATTGTTGACTGACCCTGAACACGTACCTAGGGCCTCAGTTCCATAGCATTTGATGCTTTGGGGTGAGGGGTTGGAGTCTCACCTGGGCATCACCACCTGGGCTCTCATGTTCTGGTTCCTTAGTGATTTTTAAGTGGTTATAGGCAGTTTGTTAAGTGGCCTGGTCACTAGTTATATGCTCATCTATCCTGCCACTGGTTGTGAAAGTGGTGGCCCTTTACTTTGTCTGTGTTACTTTAAAGCACGTTCAAAACACATTTCCCTGCCTCAAAGAATTCTGAGCACTGCATTTTGTTGAGGGTTGCTGGGAATTCCAGGGCCCAGAATTTTTCTGAGGGAATTACATGTGCTTTGAATGAGTTCTGTAGGCAGCCTTATAGGGGACCTGTGCCCACCCCCCCTCCAGATGCTGGACTACAGTTCCCATAGTTCCCTGACCTTTGGGCCATGCTGGCTGGGGTTGGTAGGAGCTGGAGCCCAATAGTATTAAGAGAAGACCACTGGTTCTCCATCCCTGACAAAGGAAGATTCAGGCAAGGGTAGGGTTGAGCTTTTTAAAGGAAAACCCAAAAGTTAGTGAACACACACACACCAACAATGGTTCCAGATAGTGGCATGGAAATATGGTCGCTCTAGTCTGCTAAATAAACTGAATTCAGGAAAGGAGGGGGTAAGAGTTAGAATTAGCACCTGGTGGTGCTGGGACTAGAGACGAGCAAGCATGTCTCCACGCACTCAGAGCTCTCCAGCAGTCAAGTTTTCAGAAGCAGCTACTGCCCAGTTAGGCACCATCTGAGCCCAACTTACAAGTTTTCATCTGGCCCACTCAGGTTCTTGTGCAAAGTCCAGAAGGCCTAACCTGTATACTGCCTAAAGGGTGGGTCCTGTCAATTATCAAGCCAAGGAGCTAGTCCTCCTTACCTTCCGCCAATGCTGGGGTGACTGAGCTGCTGCCGCATCCGATTGAACTGTCTCTTCATCATCTTGAGGTAAAGATAACGCAGTCCCACCACAACGACCAAAAACCAGCTGGGTGTTCTTTCCCTCCTCCTCTTCAGCACAAGGCACCCGCACTTGTTGCCATCGATGAGTCTCTCCTCCTCCTCCTCCTCCTGTCAGCAGGCTTATTCCTGTCACTTCCTTGTCATTCTCTGGTCTTATTTTATTCTCTCTCTCTCTCTCTCTCTCTCTCTCTCTCTCTCTCTCTCTCTCTCTCTGACTTCACTCTTCTCTTCCCATTTCTACTTCCTCCTCCTCCTCCTCCTCAACCCTCACTGATTTCCTCTTATTTCCCTTTCTTCCGATATCCTTCCCTCACAATCTTCAGTGTGCTTCTCCACCTCCTTTTCCTCCCTAAGTTTCAAGTCCTTCCCGTTTCTCTCACACTTTCTCTGCAGCAACTTGCCTCTTTCTCTCTTGCCTCCGCCGCCGCCACCTCTCGCAGATGCTGAGAGCAGGTAAGATCTGCTGCTGCCTCTCTCAGTTCCTGTCACCACCCCGCCAAAAGAGAAAAAAAATAAAAATAACTTCAGCCAAGCCTTAAAGGGGAAATATTATTACAGCAAACATGCAACAAGGCAGAACAAGCCTTTATGCTGCGAGGGCTCGCGCTGTAGCACTTCCTACTTTCTCTCTCTCTCTCTCTCTCTGGCTCAGCTTACGCTTGACAGCGTGGGGGTGACGCTGAAACGAAGCTTGAGGTTTGGGGTGAGGAAGACGGTTGGCTGATAAAGTTGCATGAACTCAGGAGGATGGGGGTGTAGCTTTTGCAGCAGAGGCCCAGAGAGGGTCTTTCTCAGGTTGGCCCAACCAGCATTGCTGGCAAGGTGAAGTAAACAATGGATTTTGGGATAGCAAAGCTAGCAGCGTGCAACAGCTCCTGCTAGTTCAGCCCTGGGCACCATACATTACTATATGCAATTATAAGTACTAATACTCTGTCCTGCCTGTCTCTGAAGTATCTAATTGCATCCTGCACACACAATATTGCAGACCAACTTCTTAAGACTGTGTGCTCTTCCATAAAACACGCACAACGTTCAACACCAATTTCCCGAGGAGCAATTTCCTTTCCTGGAGCAAAGGAAAACTGCAATGTGAAATTGCTGAATTATAACACATGTAGCCTTTGGAATGCACAAGGGTCGTTTTTCCACAGTACTACACAGTGGTTTGGAACTGTACACAACTTCACATGATTTCATTTACCATTTGTGTTGTCTGTGCACATAAGTGGGAATGTTTTCATGTGCAACAGTGTTCTCTATTCCCCTCCCCTCAAATAGCATTTCTATAGCTTCCTTGCCTTAAAAAACAAAACGTTTTGCATATTTTGTTTTCAAAAGAGAGGGGCTGAAAACTGGTGTGTTTCTGCATATGTATGGTTACCTTGGTATGCATACCTTGGTTCTCAAACAGAATGTGCTTCGGGAGTCTGCCCGACTCCCGAAACCATTCAAAAACCAAGGTGTGGCTTCTGATTGGCTGCAGGAGTGTCCTGCAGCCAATCAGAAGCTGCGCCAGATGTTCGGCTTCCGAAAATTGTTCGAAAACCAGAACACTCACTTCTGAGTTTCGAATGTTTTCAAACGGAGCTGATTTTTTCGGGAGCCAAGGCATTTGAGATCCAAGGTATGACTATATTGTTATACAGAGGTGAATTAAATCACTTTGCGGCTTCCTATTTTGCCTGTTTCATTCATACCCAACTTAAGCACGGTGAGGAGGAATGGCCCAGCCCTGGGAAACCTCTGCGCATGTATGTAGGCAGGAAGCTCTTGAGAAGAACATTCTCAGTACTAAACGGATTATAATTGTTCCAGCAGAAGGTGCTTTATATTTATTTCTTTTTATTTCTTACACGTATATACAATGGTACTTTGGTTTAAGAACAGCTTAGTTTATGAACAACTTGGATTAAGAACGCTGCAAACCCGGAAGTAGGTGTTTTGGTTTGTGAACTTTGCCTTGGAAGCAGAACATGTTGAGTGTGTTCCATTTGTAAATTGAGTCCCCTGCTGCTATGGGAAAGTGCACCTTGGTTTAAGAATGCTTTGGTTTAAGAATGGACTTTCAGAACAGATTAAGTTCATAAACCAAGGTACCACTGTACCACGTTTAAGGAGCTTAAGACGGGATTAATTGTTCACCCGTCACGATTTTATCCTCACAATCACCCTGTGAGGTAGGTTAGGCTGAGAGACAGTGGCTAGCCCAGCGCCACCCAGTGTGCTTCATGGCTGGGTTGGGATCCAAACCCTGGTTTCCCAGGTCCTAGTCCAACACTCCAACCAATACTCCACAGTGACTCTATTGACAATATGGGGATTGTGTCATGTTTCCAGGACTCCGAAAAGGTGACTGGCATCCAGCACTGAATGCCTATTATCACGTAGTGTGCACACACCTTTAAATGGTAATGTGCATTAGTTCAAAATGTGGGAAGCCAGCCCTGATGCATTCAGGGACCATCTTGCTCCTTTTGCTGAGTGGAGTCCTGGGCATCTGCCCCAAAGTCCTGACATCACTGCCTCAAACAATTCCCCCCCCCCAAAAAAAATTATTGAACACCTATTGCTTTGTCCATCGAGGCAGTTGACATGATCGTTTGGGAGCTGGACCACAGCCACGTGGTGTGATGAGATCTGGAGCGATGATGCTGGGAGCAGTGCTCAACGAGGCGACATTAAGTTTTCTTCCTAGGCACACCCTGGATGGAAATGACTGTTGTGTTCTAAACCCCCAACACTCCCCCCCCCAAACTCTGTCAGCAATCTCTCAATTTGCAGCCGTTTGAAAGCCACTTGTTGCAGAGAAAGCCCAGGCAGGCAAAGAATTATGGGGGCAAAGTGCATGAAGTTACTGAGAAGTGGGAAAATTAAGGTGAGGAAGTGGTCAGAGTGCGCACATCGAGAGATAAAGTTCTATAATTGTAAATGAGAAAGGAAAGGAGGAAAGAACTGCCTCAGGCCGGCTACTAAAAAGGTTGCATTCTCCCGCCTGCTAAATTTATCTATTAGCTGGGCTAGGTTAGAACTGCTATCAGTGTTTTGTTTTCATCTTACACAAATTACTGGTACCCATCTGTTGAGCTAGGGCTATGCAGGCTTTGAGGTTACCTAGTTACCTTTATCAAGCACACATGAATGTGATGGCCTAAATTATTATTCAGTCATTATTATTATTATTAAGCTTTAAGGGCAAGGATCGAGAGCCTGTAGCCCTCCAGCACTCAGTTCCTGGGGCTTAGTCTTGATTCTCTCCAGTCAAATATATTTCCTGTAGCAATTCTATCACAAAGTATAAACAACTACTACTACTATGACCACTTCATTGCACATACTTTGGCAAAGCCCCTATGCTGCAGCTGAGCGCTCAAATTTTAGATTCATTGCAAGCGTGCATATAGAATGCAGCCTGCATCAGCTGATTTATCTGACACGGAGACAAGATGGAAAGTAGTGTCGCCTGTGATGTAAAGGGGCTGCTGAAGTTAAATTTATTACTCAACAGGCTGTAATGGACAGAGCCTGGAGCCAATTTGCCTCCTCCTCCCCATGAACTGCAGCTGGGCTGTTCCAAAGTGCTTGCCCCCCTTCTTGGGCCTGGTGAGCATTAAATGTCCCCAAACCCTATAGTTATAATTTGTGGGTTGCTGTTGGATTTTATTTTGATTTTCATGTGATTTTAATTTGCATTTTAATTGTTTGATTTTATGTTTTTAACGTTTTATACATCTTGATGTTAGCTGCCCTGAGCCTGGTCCTGGCCGGGGAGAGCGGGGTATAAATTTTATTATTATCATCATCAATCATCATAATCATCTCAGGTCCCCTCCCCAGTTAGGACTTCTCAGGGGCATCAATACCAAACATAATTAAAAAAGGATCTGCTTTTCCTAGTGTGCTTCTCTTCAGGTGCTACTGCAGACAAGAGAGATAATAGAATCATAGAGTTGGAATAGACCACAAGGGCCATCGAGTCCAACCCCCTGCCAAGCAGGAAACACCATCAGAGCACTCCTGACATATGGTTGTCAAGCCTCTGCTTAAAGACCTCCAAAGAAGGAGACTCCACCACACTCCTTGGCAGCAAATTCCACTGTCGAACAGCTCTTACTGTCAGGAAGTTCTTCCTAATGTTTAGGTGGAATCTTCTTTCTTGTAGTTTGGATCCATTGCTCCGTGTCCGCTTCTCTGGAGCAGCAGAAAACAACCTTTCTCCCTCCTCTATGTGACATCCTTTTATATATTTGAACATGGCTATCATATCACCCCTTAATCTCCTCTTCTCCAGGCTAAACATGCCCAGCTCCCTTAGCCGTTCCTCATAAGGCATCATTTCCAGGCCTTTGACCATTTTGGTTGCCCTCCTCTGGACACGTTCCAGTTTGTCAGTGTCCTTCTTGAACTGTGGTGCCCAGATCATAGAATTATCGAATTGGAAGGGACCCTGAGTGTCATCTAGTCCAACCCCCCCCCGTCATGCAGGAATCTCAATTAAAGCATCCATGACAGATGGGCATCCAGTGGGATGAGGAGGGAAGATGCCATTTAGATGCCACTTTTGGGTTCCATGGGGAGGATCAAGCTTCGCCTACTCAGGAGAGACCAGGCCACTAGGAGAGAAATGGGATCTAAGCCCCAACAAAATAAACAAGCACAGAATTTATTGTTGCGGGACTGTGCCTACCATCTCAGAAGCTGCAATGCAGATAGAAGAATTGCCTATATGTTACGTCTATCAGAGAGGAAGCTGGAAACAACCTTCCTGATTCTTATCTGGACATATCAGTGCTCAGTGACTTATCCTCAAAATGCCACTGCTGTAGTCCACCACACCACAATTCCTCATCATTTAGAGAAGCCACGCAAGTCATTTCATTAGGCTCCTTTGGGAGGAAGGTTGGGATGCAAGTTGAAATAATAATAAACCTTGCAAAAAATGAATGACCATAATAAATTACTACTACTACAAAAATGCAAATGATGATTAATTTCCAGCTTCCTTTTTTTGTAACTCAACCTGTTTCTACTAAGATATGTGTGGGAAGTCTACCTTACTGCAGAGGATTCAAGCTGTCAATAGTAGTGCCA